GCTGTCCTTGGCAGTTTCGGGGCCTCCTTGGGCCGTCTCGGGCTCTTCTGGGGAACTCTGGTGTTGTTTCAGGGCCCTCCGGGGGCCATCCGGCGCCGTCTCGGGGCTCTCTGGCGGTTCAAGGGGCCTGGGGTCCATACAAACCACCAAGGCGTCTTTCGGATCTACTTGAATGGATACATATCCGCCGACCCCAGAGGCGTGCGAGGGAAAGTGCGGAATACGATCGCAAAACCAGGTCACTAGCGCAAACACAAAACGCAAAAAAAACACTGCATGACCAGCACTGCCTGAACCTTCATGAACACGTCCAAGTCAGGAGCGCAAACACAAAGGCAAATGACACCAGAGCTGAAGCTCAGCAGTACAAAACAAATGTGCGCTCCAAAGGCCCACATCACGAACATATGCTCTGGACTTCTTTGCGCTCCAGAGATCTGGGCCTTTTCCCTTCCCCACCCCGACCCAATAACTTCTGCTCTCCGCCGTCCCTCCCCCCCTATTGACCTTGCCTCGGCATCCTCATCTTTCGAGCCTCTGATCTTCAGCCACACATTGAACACATGCCGCGCGCGAGGCTCCCACCCAGCAATCTCCATGCCCCGCCGCCCTTCCCCCCCGCCCACCTCGCCCCGGCGTCCCCAGCATCTGAGCCTTTGCTCGCGAGGCTCCCACCAAGCAATCTCCGTGCCCCGCCGCCGCTCCTCCCCGCCCACCCCGCTCCGGCATCCCCAGCATCTGAGCCTCCGTTTGTGAGGCTCCCGCCCACTAATTTCCGTGCCCCGCCGCGTCTCCCCCCCGCCCACCTCGCTCAACCATTTTTCGCTCGGAAGCAACCCCAGCCTCCACCGTGTCTGACATCCCCGTCCCGAACACCCCTCCCTCGGAACCTCTGCTCTTCGCCTCCACCCAACAACTTCGCGTCCAGATCCGACCCTGTTCTAGCCACCTCGTCAAACCTCCGCACCGTACTGCGAGTTGTGTTCTTGGGCCCCATCCGCCCTGCAATGTCCCGCCCAGCTCCGACCCTGTTCTAGCCACCTCGTTTGACCTCCGCACCGTCCTGGGAGCTGTATTCTTGGGCCCCTTCCACCCAACAACTTCCCGCCCAGATCCGACCCTGTTCTAGCCACCTCGTCTGACCTCCGCACCGTCCTAGGAGCTGTGTTCTTGGGCCCCATCCGCCCTGCAATTTCGCGCCCAGATCCGACCCTGTTCTAGCCGCCCCGTCTTACCTCCGCACCGTCCTGGCAGCTGTGTTCTAGGGCCCCATCCACCCTACAATTCCCCGCCCAGACCCGACCATGTTCTAGCCACCTCGTCTGACCTCCTCAACGTCCTGGGAGCTGTGTTCTTGGGCCCCATCCGCCCTACCATTTCCCGCCCAGCTCCGACCCTGTTCCAGCCACCTCGTCTGACCTCCGCACCGTCCTGGGCGCTGTATTCTTGGGCCCCTCCACCATGCAATTTCCCGACCAGCTCCGACCCTGTTTTAGCCACTTCCCCCGACCTCCGCACCGTCCTGGGAGCTGTGTTCTTGGGCCCCATCCACCCTACAACTTCCCGTTCAGATCCGACACTGCTCAAGCCACCCCGTCTGACCTCCGCGCCGTCCTGGGAGCTGTGTTCTTGGGCCCCTCCACCCTGCAACTTCGCGCCCAGATCCGACTCTGTTCTAGCCACCTCGTCTGAACTCTTCACCGTCCTGGGGGTGGTGCTCTAGGGCCCCATCCGCCCTACCATTTCCCGCCCAGATCCGACCCTGTTCTAGCCGCTTCGTCTGACCTCCGCACCGTCCTGGGAGCTGTGTTCTGAGGGCCGCCTCTCCTACAATTTCCCGCCCAGCTCCGACCCTGTTCTTGCCACCTCGTCCGACCTCCGCACCATCCTGGGAGCTGTGTTCTTGGGCCCTCCAACCTATAGCTTCCCGCCCAGATCCGACTCTGTTCTAGCCATCTCGTCTGACCTCCGAATCGCCATGGGAGCTGTGTTCTTGGGTCTTTCCACCCTACAGTTGTTGCCCTCCCAGATCCGACCCTGTTCTGGCCACCTCGCCCGACCTCCGCACCGTCCTGGGAGCTGTGTTTCTAGGCCCCTGTACCGTACAATTTCTGGGCCAGATCCGACCTTGTTCTAACCACTTCCCACAACGCCCCAAAAGGCTTCCAAGAGGTTTCCAAGAGGACTTCCAAGAGGGCCCCAAGAGGCAAAAATCATAGATTTCCCGTACATGTTTGAAAGATTTCGGCATTGTATAGTTCGCCATGTCAGCTTCCTGACGCTCCAAGACAGGCCCAGAAGCCCCCAAGACCGCCCCAAGATGGCCCAAGAGGCCTCCAAGATAGCCCCAAACCGACTCAAGAGGGCCCCATGACCGACCAAGAGGCCTCCAAGACAGCCGAAGAGGCCCCCAAGACGGCTCCAAGGAGGAGCCCAGACGGGAGACCCAAAAGGACAGTTCGAGTCCTCGGCCTGAGAAGCTCTCAGGAGGCCCCCAGAGGAAGCCCCACAAGAAGCCCCAAGAAGCCACCGAGAGACCCCAAGGAAGCCCCAAGAGGCCCCCACGAGGCTTCCAAGCGGCCCCCAAGAGCTTCCCAAGAGGCCCCCAAACTAACCCCAAGAGGCCCCCGAGAGCGCTCGTCGTCGTCGTCGTCGTCGCCTTTCAGGGTCGGCGGCACCGGTCGTAAGGCCTTCGCAATATTCAAAAGAGATCAACAAAAATTCAAAAAATCGTCCGCAGTACTTTTTTACTATTTTTGAATTTTCTCCTGTAGAGGGACAGGCCCGACTTAATGCCAAGGGGGGGGTATAATGTAACGCCTCCCCCCCGCCGTGTGCGCGGCGGCACTGCCCGGAGCGCACTGGGGGGGGGAGGGGCGTTACGTTATAGGGAGGGTGAGGCGAGGGCAGGCCGGGGGCTATGGTGCCCATTATTCTCCAAGCAGTAAAGAAACACGCTCTTGCGGTGGCACCCGATCCTGGCCAGGCCCATCCTCGGCCTGGCATCGGTGCAAACACATATCCTGGGCCAGAGAGGCGTTGCCTGGCCAGAAACTGTGGAGGTGTGTGCCTGGCACATCCAGTCGCTGGGAGCGCTCGTGCTCAGACATCGTGCACCCTTCAAGTCGTATGTTCAGCGTGGCTCTGGAACTCACGACCGCAAGAATCGTGACTTTCTCGTCCTATCTTTCGTTCGTGGGTCCCGTCGGCTGCCCCAAATGGGCACCTGGGGCCGAGACTCTGAAACGCCGCCCCTTTGGACTCTTGCCACAACGCCGGAAGCTGGGACGTCTGGGCGCGCCCGCGTCGCGACGGCCAGCCTCGACCCCCGGAGGGCGCTTGCCGAGCCAGGACAAGGCGAGAGCGGAGCGCAGACGACGACGACGACGAACCGCCGGCCTCGTCCGACGGCGCGGCCTGGAGCGGGCGCTCCCGCTCGGAGGCGCAGCAGCGATCCAGAGAGGCGCCCATCGCCTCGCCGCGCGCGCGCGCTCGGAGGGGGGGGCGCGGCGGACTCTGGCTGCCAGCGCGCTCGGAGGCTTCTGAGAGGGCCCTCCTTGGAAGGCGGGAGGGCTGCGAAAAAAGCCCTCCCCCCCCCTGCTTTTTGTTCCCGGGACCCCCTCCCGCTCCGCGGTGCGAGCTGCCAGCCCAAGCCTCCGGCGCCACGAGGAGGATGGGTCACGCCCCAGTCGGCTGCACGCAGGAGTGACCCTGGGCAAGAGGGACCTTAGGTGGGCAACTTGATGAGACGCGGGGCCCCTGGTCAAACCTGGGCGCGCAAGCCGCGCGCAACCGTTCAGCGAGATCCGGGGACCCCGTTGGGCCCGCACCGAAGGTCACTCCAGCGATAGGTCGCTCTAACGCCTCATCGACCCAATTAGGCCCGTGGACGCCGCGGCCACGAGCCAGTCCCTGCGTTGGGGCTCAGAGCTCTGGGGGCCCACACCGTGAAAGGGCCACGGCCCGTCGGATGTCCGCGAGCGGGTCAGGAGGCGACGCTGGTTCTGCCCTCTCGCACGTGCCGTCCTCGACACTGGGCCCTCGCGTGTTCGTTCGCCGTCGCGAGGGGGCCCAGCGGCGAGGCGAGGACGACGACGACGAGGACGAGCAGAGGAGGGAGGGGAGAGGGCGGCAGGGGGGGCCCTGGCACACCTGCCCCCGCCGACGGCGCACAAGAGACCCCCTGCTCGCACAGCTGCACCCTCCTCGATTCCGCCTGCCCTGCCGTCCGGCCTCCCGCTCGCCGATGCCCCCCTAGCTCCTCCAGTCGAGACACTAGCTTCGCCTCCCCGCTTTCCCCCGCCAACAAAAAAGCGCCTCACCCTACCGCAAGCGGTCAACGCGGTACAGCCGACGTCTCGTCTCACCACTTGGGCCCTCCGGAATGTCCAACCCATCCGGGGGCCCAGTCTTCCCTCCCGGGTCGCTTCTCCATGGCCCTAACCAAGGCCGCGCTAATAGCGATGTTGGTTAACGGCGATGCTGGGAATCCGAGGCTTGTGACACCGAGCTCGCGCAGAACAAATTGTAGGAAATCGCGAACCACGCTTTCCTACATCGCACATGTGCGAATGTATCAAACGAAAACGACACAGCGAGTTGTAAGAAAACGCGAGCCACGCGTTCCAACAAATGGTTTGGCCACGAACCACGCCTTCCTACAATTGGTTGTCCTACTTCGCCGTTGCCTAATATGCCGTTAGCGCGTCTACGGCCTAAAGGCCCGCAACGAGCCGAGGGCAACTCACGAGACAGCGAGATGAACGCACACGAATATCCAAAGAAAACGGCGGGGGAAACCAAAAGGTACCGATACCCGCGGACCTCTCCCGGGGTGCGTTGTGTGTACAGGATTTCGGGGCGAGTGCAACGGTGGCAACGACGAAGGCCTCCCAAGAGACCCAACAAAAACGAGAACGGGGCGAGGAGTAACGCTATGGGTATACCTGCCCAGATAGTCGGCTTGTCCAATATTTGCGCCGTTGGGTCAAAACCCTTTTGATGTAACGTTCCAGTTCAACATTGAATCCATGTAGCATCAACCATGAATTCAAATGATCGCAAGTGATGAGGAAGTGTGACTGCCCTGTGCAGACTTTGAGCAATGCCTCCTCTGAATGACGGCCCATGTGTCGCCGACGCCCATGCGCCAGCATGCCGCCCTCGGCAGCCCACAGCGGCGCTCTCGCGCCCGCCTGCGCGCGGCGGCGTGCCAGCGGGTTACGCAGGCCAGCACACTGGGCGCGGCGCGCTGGGGGCCTCTCCTGGCAAAACCATGTTTCACTGCAGGCTCTGGGTACTTCAGGGCCTTCTTTGAAAGGCACCTGCTTAAGCAGATGGCCTCTGCCTGGGTGCTGCTCCTTGGCCACCCTCCTGAATTGCGTCTTCCCGCAGGCTCCAACCACACGGGTGAAAGACTTTCCGAGATTGTGGACAGCCTGGGTGGTGAAGCAAGCACAAATAAACATGGCGCCACGCAGGCTTCGTCTTCGCGCCGAGCTGCAGTAGTGCGCCAGATCGAGAGCATTGACAAATCATGAACGCTGGCTACACGCAGATTGCGAAGCCCACTGTCGCTTGCGGCAAATCGCGGTGCACTCAGACGACTGCGGTGCCCCATTAGTATAAACATCCGCCGGCCCCCGCTTGCTGGGGGTGAAAAGGCGTGTGAGTCATTTGGCTGTCCACCTCCCCTTTCCCCCTCCCCTGGGGTCCAAAATGCCATTTTAGGGGGGCGGGCACGAGCTCGTCAACGCACCCGGGGCCTCCGGAGCCACCAAAAAGCCTCACGACAGCCCAGCAGGGCCCAGACAGAGCGCCAAGACAGTCGAAACGAGAATCATGACGGCCCAGGGTAACCCCACGACGATCCAAAATTGGTTCAAGATGGCCCACGAGGCCACCAGGACAACCCAAAAAGCGCCTCCAGAGGATCGGCGGGGCAAGAAGCCCAAATCATCCCATTCCCTTGGGACAAAACCTTATATGTTCAGCACATTCGCACTCTATTTACGTTTTGACAGCGAACGCGACGGCCTAAGTAGCCCCCAAGATCGTCCCAAGACGGCCAATGATGTCTCCAAGAAGGCTCCAGGACGGCCTGGCAGGGCCCAAAGCCAGCCCCAGGGGCCCCCCAAGACGGCCCAAGACAGCCCCTGGAGGGCCCCAAGAGGGCTCCAAGAGAGCCTAAGAAGGGGAATACTGAAGGGGCCCTGGGACACACAAATAAATTCACACAGATGAAATGATGCCCCATATTTCCCCATATCTTCTTGGTGTTCGTCTTCCCCCCCACTTCCCATATTTTCCAACATTTTCACATATGTTCCTAGGGATCGGCGAATAATTGTGCCTGTGTGCTTTTCCCCCTCCTGAAATACGGACTGAAATTTCGAGCCTTTCCCACCGAGATGGCCCCTCGAGCCAGCGAGAGGCCCCCAAAGGGCCCTCCAGGAGGCCCCACGAGGCCCTCGAGACGCTCTTCGGAGGCCTCCCGGAGGCCCTCGGGAGGCCCCCCCAAAAGCCTCCCACGTGCCCCCCAAGAGCTTTCCAAACTGCTCCAGGGAGGCATCCCGCGAGACCCTCGGATTCATCCAGGAGGCTCCTGACCCAAGACAGCTTCCACGATCGTCTCAAGCACTCACTCCTTGGGGGGGGTCGGCGGAATGGCGCAAGCCACTCGAACCAGAAGGTTCTGAGCCACTCACTGGATGCAACGCTACACTGGAGCCGACGGAGTGGCCACCGAACACCCATGCCACGATCCACAAGTCATCCTTAGGCGCTTCTCTGATGAATAGGACGGTATGTTTGCCGTCACCGTTCAGCATCCTGCAATACTGCATTACGATTTGCGCCTTGCACAGAACTCACAGAGTCGATCGGTGTCGCGTGTCACGACCTGCGACCCGGTGGATAATGGATATCGTCCAGCGCCTGCGCACGAGAAAGAGAGACAACGGAAACCACACCAGCTTCCAATTCTCCTCCTCATCCCTCCTGCGACTTGCAGATCAAACCTAAGCAGAGCGAGCTGCACGGATCGAGAGAGGCTTGGTCCACAAACATGCACCAGAGCAAAATCCGCCGATCCGGCGTGTGAGTTTCTGAAAGCGTAGGCTTGAGCTCGCTCAAGCTTCGCTCTGCGGGGGGGGGACCTCATTTCCGACCTAATTCAGTGCTTCGCAGGGGGGGGGGGACCTCATTTCCGACCTAATTCAGTGCTTCGCCCCCCCCCCTCCCAGAGCGGAACCCCCCATCCCCTGCAGAGCGCCCCCTCCCCCTTCCTGCAGCCCAGCCCCCCCCACCCCCCTGCAGAGCGGACCCCCGCCCCCCCTGCACCCCTCCCCTGCGAGTAGACTCCCCCCCCTGCAGAGCGGACCTCGCCCCCTGCAGCCCCCCCCCCTGCAAGAGCGGACCCCCCCCCCCCTCTGCACCCCCCCCTCCCAGAGCATCCTCCTGCACCCCCTCCCCTGCAGAGCGGACCCCCTCCCCCCCCCCTGCAGCCCAGCCCCCCACCCTGCAGGCGGACCCCCCCCCCGTGCGCCCCCCCCCCCTACAGAGCGGACCCCCCCCCCCCTCTCCCCTGCGCCCCCCCCTCCCCTGCACCCCCCCTCCTGCAGAGCAGACCCCGCCTCCTGCAGCCCCCCCCCCCTGCAGAGCGGACCCCCCCTCTCCCCTGCAGCCCCTCCCTCTGCCGAGCGGACCCCCCCTGCAGAGCAGACCCCCCCCCTGCAACCCAGCTCCCCCCCCGTCGTCGTCGTCGTCGTCGTCGTCGTCGTCGTCGTCGTCGTCGTCGTCGTCGTCGTCGTCGTCGTCGTCGTCGTCGTCGTCGTCGTCGTCGTCGTCGTCGTCGTCGTCGTCGTCGTCGTCGTCGTCGCTCGCGTCATCGTCGTCGTCGTCGTCGTCGCTCGCGTCGCCGTCGTCGTCATCGCCGCCGTCGTCGTCGCCGTCGTCGTCGTCGTCGTGGTCGTTGTCGTCGTCGCTCTCGTCGTCGTCGTCGTCGACGTGTTCGTTGTCGTCGTCGTTTTCGTCTTCCTCGTCGTCGTTCATTTCCACAGGCACCCGGAGCGCCCCGGATCGGCGGCACTGGCCGGAGGCCACTACAATATGATTCGCCAGCGCAATTGACGGCGATCATATAAAATAGAATCCTTGATGTTCTATAAGCGTGGAGGGTGTATCGCGTGGCGGAAGAGAGTAGGCTGCCTTTCGCGGGGCGCAGGGGGGGATCGGTTGCGGGTTCGGTGCGCGTCGTGGACCATGACGAGTCGAAGGGCAGGGCTGCGTGGGTTGGGTGCTGCTGAGCACACACTTTGGAATAAGCTCTGCATGCACGAACCCAGAGGCATGATCGTCAGGTGACGATGGCGGCGGGCGAAGACGGCGCCTCGGCGGCTGAGGAAGGGCGCTAGAACATGCTGTATGCGGCAGCCTGCGTCAGGTTTGAGTCTGTTGCGGCGATGAGCGGGCGAGCGAGGCAGGCGGAGGTGACAACGGACAGCTTCTGATGACGGCAAGCGGGGGGAAATAGAAGAGAAGCACGCGCAATTACGTTCGGGGGAGAGGGGAACAGAGGCGATATGGAAAAAGCCCTGATGAATAGAGGTAAATGGCAGGGGAAAAGACAAAGACCAAAGGAGAAGAGGGTGAGAGAAAGGGGGGCCCGGGGGGCCGTCAAAAGAAAAAACAAATCATGGGGCAAACAGAACATGCGAAGCTGGAATCCTGACAGTGCTGAACAAACGCTCGATGCTTTTACAATTCAGACATATGGGTTGCTGGCCTCCTGCGAAAGTTTGAACGGACGCAGAGACTGAACAGATACGAAAAGGAAGCGCTCCCCGAAACGAACATGTCTAGCTGTCTGTGGGAAAGTGGTCATGCCAGAGCTGATCTGGATAAGGACACAACACATCGAAACTTTAACGATGTACGATTGCGTATGTGCTCCATGGGGGAACACATCGGGGAAGCTACAAACCGACGCATACAGAAATAATAATGCACATTGAGCAATGGGCAGCAACCCACCGTAGCAAATACCTCTCCAACAGCCAATGACGCGTGCCAGCGGCGGCGCAAGCGGATCAACAAGTACACGAGCAACATGGCTTGACGGCTTCGGTTGAGATCGGCTTCGGACTTCGGGGGCATGGGCGTGTACGGTGCACGCGAGAGCCCTTTTTCGCCTCAGCCGCCGAGGGTCGGCGGCTCGCCAGGCTGACGAATTCGATGCAAACTGGCCAGCAGGATCCGCTTCCGCTCGATGCCGTCGCGCAGGCTGGCGCAGAGGGAGTGCAACCTCTCGACTTCCGGCCTCGCCTGGGAGGTCCAGCGTGGGCACAGCACCGAGGTCGCTGTCGCGCGTTCGTGCTCAGCATTAGGCGCGAGCTCCCGACGGGAGGGACAACTGTGCAGACCACTGTCTGCAAGCGGACCAATGCCGGCCACCGATGGTGGGCTGTGCGGACCACCGTCGGCGAGCAGGGCCCCGGCGAGGGCGCTGTCGCCTAGCCTTGCGCCCAGGCGCTGCAGCAGCCCCCTCTTCTCCTCCAACAGCCGCGCCAGGCCCTCCTCCCCCCGGGCGCGCGGGCTCGCGCTGCTGTCGGCAGCGGGCGGTGCTGCGGCCGCGCGCGCGGCCGCCGCGGGCGGGGAGGTGGCCTCGGCCTCGCTCGCGCCGGGCTGCACCGCCCTCCTCGCAGGGCCCCGCTCGGCCGCGGCCCTCGACGTGGGAACGGCGGCCGGGTCCGGCTGCCATCCACTCTGCGCGCCGCGGCCGTCGGGGATGGCCTGTGCCGCCTCCCGCCCGGCTGGCGGCGGCCCCAGCGCACGGCCCCTCAGGGGCAGCCGCTCCCCCGAGCACGCCCGTGCTCTCGCGCCACGCCTAGCGACTCGCGCCCCCCTGGGAGGGCTTCGGCTTGCCGGCCGGTTCGCAGAGCTCTTGCTCACGAGCGAGGCGTCCAAGTTCGTGCCAAGCCCAGCGGAGCCGTCGCTGCACCTCTGGCCATCCAGCTCCGAAGATCGCTCTCTGGCAGCTTGACTCGTCTCTGGCTCTCTGGCTGCTTCGGAGGTTGCCTCCTGCCCTCTTGGCGGCACAAGGGTCGCCGCCCTCTGGCCAACCGCCCCGCGCGCACCCTGTGTGGACGCCCAGCTGCAGCTGCGCCTGAGGCCGCCCGACGCCGCCACGTCGGAGCGCGGAGCGCAGCGCCGCGATGCGCCGCTCGGTTCTTGCTCCCGAGACTGCCCTCCGTCCAGTTTACTCGCCTCCAACTCACTAGCTGCTTCCGAGCTCGCCTCCAATCTGCTTGGCCGCACGGGGGTCGCCGCCCTCTGGCCAGCCGCCCCGCGCGCACCCTGCATGGAAGCCCAGCTGCAGCTGCGCCGGAAGTTACACGAAGCCGCCGCAGCTCTGGAGTGCGGGGCGCAGCGCCGCGATGCGCCACTCGGTCGTGGCTCCGTTGACCCCCCTCCGTGTCCAAGACTCGCCTCCAGCTCGCAATCTGCTTCGGAGTTCGCCTCCCATCTGCTTGGCCGCACGGGAGTTGCCGCCCTCTGGCCGGCCGCCCCGTGCGCTTCTGCTATGGAAGCCCAGCTGCAGCTGCGCCGGAGGCCGCCCGACGCTGCCGCCGTTGCGGAGCGCGGAGCGCAGCGCCGCGGTGCGCCGCCAGGTTCGGGCGTGCCTGCGGATAGCATGCTCGTACTCGACATCAAGCTTGATGACAACTGACTGTTGTTTCCCCGACAAGCCCGCTGGCATCTCGCAAGCGCGCCGTAGCCGATGCCCTCGCTGCGAACCCGCATCTGGCCGGCAATGCGCGGAGGGCGTACCGTCCGCGCGTCCACCAGCACCAGCGATGGGAACAAGTTCGTCAGCTGGGCCACATGCCCGCCCTGCTCGGTTAACGGATTCTCCGAGACGCAGAGCACCCGGAGCTGCGTACAGACCGCCGAGGGGCGTATCGCGGTCTCAACGGTGGGCCCCAGCCGGTTATGGGATACGTCGAGCTCCTCCAGGGCCGGCAGCATCTCCAGCTCCTCCACCCGCCTGAGCCGGTTATGGGCGAGGGACAGCCTGCGAAGCCGGGAGCAGCGCCCGAGCCCTCTGGACGATACCAGCTCATTCCTCGATATGTCTGCGCGCTCCAGCGACGGCAGGCCCTCCAGCTCTGGAAGGCGCTGCAGCTCGCAGCGCGAAAGGTCGAGGTCCACCAGCGCGGCCAAGCCCGACAGCTCGGCCGCAAGCGCCGCGGAACCAAGGGCGTTACCGGCAAGGCGCAGGCATCGCAGGCCTGGGTGCAGGGCGCCCGTGCCCAGCTCGCTGAGGCTCCTCAGCTGCAGGCCCTCCAGGCTGAGGACCTCGAGGCCCACGAGCGCCCGCCAGTCGAAGGCGCCGCGCCGCGCGTCGGCGGCCGCCGCGGTCTCGGCTGCCTCCACGGCCGCCGCGGCCGCAGCGGCCTCGGCGGCCGCCGCGGCCGCCGCATCACGGGGCGCCGCTCTCACGAGCGCCTCGCGGCCCGCCTCGGGCCCGAGGGCGGCGGCGGCGGCGGCGGCGGCCGCGCCTGGCGCCCCCTCGGAGGCGCGGAGCTCGGCGCCCGCGGCGGCCAGGTGTGCGCCCTCCGCCGGCGGGAGCTCCTGCTCGGGCAGCACCGAGGAGACGTCGCCGCCATGCTCGGGCAGCACCGAGGGTGATGGACCTGTTTTCCACCACCACCACCACCATAAGTTGGAGGGGGGAAAGAGGTGGAGGATGAGGATGAGGATGAGGATGAGGACGAGGACGAGGACGAGGATGAGGAGGAGGAGGAGGAGGAGGAGGAGGAGGAGGACGAAGAGGAGGAGGAGGACCCCCCCCCCTCCAACTTATGGCGGTGGTGGTGGAAAACAGACCCATCAGAGGAGACGTCGCCGAAAGCGCCGCCCGGCCGCCCCGCCGCAGCCCGCGCCGCGTACCCGCTCGGCTGGGGCCTGGGCGCCCCGCCGCGCGGCGACGGCGCGGCGGAGTCCTCAGAGGCGTCGCCGAGCAGGGCGCCCACGAGCACGTCGACGTCGCTGCCGGGCTCGTCCCCGGCCTCCGAGGGGTCCGACAGGCCCAGGTCGCCCATTCTCGGCGGCGAGCAGGGGGGGGGAAGCGAGAAGGGGTTGGGCCTCCTCAGAAGGCTAGGGAGCCCCCTGGCCTTCTGAAACGTGTTCTTACTGGGATGACCGTGAGGGGTTCTAAATGGATAGGTAGTGGGGTTCCAAGTGGATGCTAAGAAGGTGGGTTATATCTGGCCCCGCCTGGCTTATACATGGGTTACACATTCCCCGAGTGGCTCAAGGGAATTAGATCACTCCACTAAGCGGGCGGAGCCACTTAGCCCGGATGGTCAACCCCCTAAGCCACTCGGGGCACGTGTAACCCACTTATAAGCCAGGCTGGCCAGATATAACCCACCTTGGCATCCACTTGTAACCCCCCTATCCAATTAGAACCCCCCACGGTCATCCCAGTAGCCTTCCCCGGTGACACAACAACCTCCTCCCCTGAGATCCGACGTCGCGAAGAAAATGCATCGTGGAAAATCACAACCGGAGCCCCAGACCCACTCTTGCTGCGTCATTTTTCGAGCCGGATCGATCTGTGAGGGCCCCGGGGCCCGACATTGGGCGAAAACGCCCAGCGCGAAACAATTATCCCGGCAAAGCGACCTAACAGCGATATGTAGGAGCATATCTGGAAGCATTCCCCTTAAGATTCAAATGAGAACCCAGTTGTAGAATTCTGCTGTTCTCGCAGTCGTAGTCGCGTTCGCGATGACAGTCGCAGCGGCAACGGCAGTCGCAGTCACAGCCTCAGCCTAAGTCTGCCTCAGCCTCAGCCTCAGCCTGCCTCAGCCTCAGCCTCAGCCTGCTTCAGCCTCAGCCTCAGTCTGCCTTCAGCCTCGGCCTCAGCCTCAGCCTGCCTCAGCCTCAGCCTGCATCAGCCTCAGCCTCAGCCTCAGTCTGCCTCAGCATCAGCCTGCATCAGCCTCAACCTCAGCCTGCCTCTGCCTCAGCCTCAGCCTGCTTCAGCCTCAGCCTCAGTCTGCCGTCGGCCTCGGCCTCAGCCTGCCTCAGCCTCAGCCTCAGCCTCAGCCTGCTCAGTCAGCCTGCCTCAGCCTCAGCCTCAGCCTCAGCCTGCCTCAGCCTCAGCCTCAGCCTGCTTCAGCCTCAGCCTCAGTCTGCCCGCAGCCTCGGCCTCAGCCTCAGCCTGCCTCAGCCTGAGCCTGCCTCAGCCTCAGCCTCAGCCTACCTCAGCCTCAGCCTGCCTCAGCCTCAGCCTCAGCCTGCCTCAGCCTCAGCCTCAGCCTGCTTCAGCCTCAGACTCAGTCTGCCTTCAGCCTCGGCCTCAGCCTCAGCCTGCCGCAGCCTCAGCCTGCATCAGCCTCAGCCTCAGCCCCAGCCTGCCTCAGCATCAGCCTGCCTCAGCCTCAGCCTCAGCCTGCCTCAGCCTCAGCCTCAGCCTGCTTCAGCCTCAGCTCAGTCTGCCTTCAGCCTCGGCCTCAGCCTCAGCCTGCCTCAGCCTCAGCCTGCATCAGCCTCAGCCTCAGCCTCAGCCTGCCTTAGCATCAGCCTGCCTCAGCCTCAGCCTCAGCCTCAGCCTCAGCCTGCCTCAGCCTCAGCCTCAGCCTGCTTCAGCCTCAGCCTCAGTCTGCCTTCAGCCTCGGCCTCAGCCTCAGCCTGCCTCAGCCTCAGCCTGCATCAGCCTCAGCCTCAGCCTCAGCCTGCCTCAGCATCAGCCTGCCTCAGCCTCAGCCTCAGCCTGCCTCAGCCTCAGCCTCAGCCTGCTTCAGCCTCAGCCTCAGTCTGCCTTCAGCCTCGGCCTCAGCCTCAGCCTGCCTCAGCCTCAGCCTGCATCAGCCTCAGCCTCAGCCTCAGCCTGCCTCAGCCTCAGCCTCAGCCTCAGCCTCAGCCTCAGCCTGCCTCAGCCTCAGCCTCAGCCTGCTTCAGCCTCAGCCTCAGTCTGCCTTCAGCCTCGGCCTCAGCCTCAGCCTGCCTCAGCCTCAGCCTGCATCAGCCTCAGCCTCAGCCTCAGCCTGCCTCAGCATCAGCCTGCCTCAGCCTCAGCCTCAGCCTGCCTCAGCCTCAGCCTCAGCCTGCTTCAGCCTCAGCCTCAGTCTGCCTTCAGCCTCGGCCTCAGCCTCAGCCTGCCTCAGCCTCAGCCTGCATCAGCCTCAGCCTCAGCCTCAGCCTGCCTCAGCATCAGCCTGCCTCAGCCTCAGCCTCAGCCTGCCTCAGCCTCAGCCTCAGCCTGCTTCAGCCTCAGCCTCAGTCTGCCTTCAGCCTCGGCCTCAGCCTCAGCCTGCCTCAGCCTCAGCCTGCCTCAGCCTCAGCATCAGCCTGCCTCAGCATTCAAAATGTGGCCCGGGAATTGAAGTTCTGGGAACTCGAAGAACACGAAGTGGCCTACAGCTGGCCCCGGGCATTCAAAATCATGCCCAGGAATGGAGTTCTGGGAACTCGAAGACCACGAAGTGGCCTACAGTTGGCTCCGGGCATTCAAATTGTGGCCCGGGAGTGGAGTTCTGGGAAGTCGAAGAGCACGAAGTGGCCTACAGTTGGCTCCGGGCATTCAAAATGTGGCCCGAGAATGGTGTTCTGGGAAGTCCAAGAGCACGAAGTGGCCTACAACTGGCTCCGGGCATTCAAAATGTGGCCCGGGAATGGAGTTCTGGGAAGTCGAAGAGCACGAAGTGGCCTACAACTGGCTCCGGGCATCCAAAATGTGGCCCGGGAATGGAGTTCTGGGAAGTCGAAGAGCACGAAGTGGCCTAGGCTCCGGGCATTCAAAATGTGGCCCGGGAGTAAAGTTCTGGGAGGTCGAAGAGCACGAAGCGTGTGACTGTTTGCTTACAACGAGCCCGGCCCTGAGCCCGGCCCTCGCTGTGCGGATGCCGCCCAGACCTCCCTTCTGAGTCATCAGATGCCCTCTTTTGACACCACTAGAAATGAGGGCCCCGGGGCCCGACATTGGGCGAAAACGCCCAGCGCGAAAAAAAATAGTCGCCAGGATCTCAGGGCCAGTAGGCCCTGAGATTATCCTCCTCCTCTTCCTCCTCCTCCTCCTCCTCATTTTCCTCCTCCTCCTCCTCCTCCTCCTCCTCCTCCTCCTCCTCCTCCCCCTTCTCCTCCTCCTCCTCTTCCAACTCCTCCTCCTCCTCCTTCTCCTCCTCCTCCTCTTCTTCCTCCTCCTCCATGGAAAAAATTAGCTTCGTCTCGCTTCCCCCCCTCGCTCGCCGCCGACATGCGGGCGCAGCGGGGGGCCGGCGGCGGCCCGAGGGGCGGCCCGAGGGGCGGCCCTGGGCGGGCAGCGGGCCGCAAAGGGCCTGCGGCGGAGGGGCGGCGCGATGGCCGGCGCTGCGGCCCCGAGCCTGGCCAACGTCGAGAGCCCCAGACATGATGGCGTCGCAGCAAAAGTCAGGACGGGAGGTCTAGGGGGCCACATGCTAACCCTAGCCTTACCCCCCACGATTTCTGAGGGGTGGGGTGGGGTTCACATCGTTCGGGATCTATTTTGTCGCAACCGCAGGCGAGGGCGCCAGCGGCGAGTGAGGTCCGAGCGGGCCACGCAAGAGCCGAATTACCTAACGCAGGCGGGCCGGTGACCTCAGGCAGCGCCTCGGCGGGTGGGCCGCCCCAGACATGAACGCGTCGCAACAAAAATCAGGACGGGAGGTTGTTGCCCAACTTCGGCCTCGGGGGGCCCTCGCCAGGCCTCGGGACCGTCAACAAAAGACGCAGGATGAAAAACCGTCCCTGGGGAAAGGGTCTGGACTTCCGGGGACGCCGTCTTGAAAAAATCTGGACGTCGCTCGGGGGGAACGAAAGGGGAGGATAGCAAAGGGTAGGGTAGAGAATCAGCTCACGTAGCTGATTTTCCCAGCGCCTCCCGGCGCCTGGAGGCGCCCATGTATCGAGGCATGGGCCCGGCGGCGGGGCCGAAGCCAGCTGCATGCAGCAGATTTCGTAACCCCCCCTGTCCCTATCTCCCTTTCGTTCGGCCCGAGACGCATGTCCGGGGCCGGACCCTGCAGTGTGCCGGCGCTCGGAGGGGTCCAAAGCGGACTGCAATCGGACCTATGCCAGAAGAACGTCCTCCAAGAACACGAGGCCCTCCGTCGGCAAAAACGAGCAGAGAATACAACGGTACCCTCCCCAGGATTGACCAGATCATCGAGCCAGCACGAAGAGCACTCGGGCACCCTCCCCGAACCGACCTCGATCTGATACCTCGGTCCGGCTGTAATCCTTCCAGGCAGGGAGGTGGGGCGAGGAACTGGGGAAGAAGCTGCAAGAAGCACTCGTGGCCCCTCCCCTGGGGCCGATGCTGCGAGGATGTCCTGAGCGAGGGCGCCCGTCTGGGATTCTGCGATGGACTCCGTCAAATTCGCCGGACACGGTGCAGTTGGCCTCACCTCCTCGCAGGGTCAGGATGATGTGAGCTTCGAAATGAACTCCCTCAAATGAGTAATTTGCGCCAGTAAGATGTCACCAGTGAAACACCGATCCCATGAATATGTGCGCCCTTCATTTTGGACATGCTTTCAGCGAATCTGGACAACTTCTCCTGTGAGAAATGAAGAGCCTGGTTGCATGCACGCTCGAATGACCTCACGTGTCTCTCTCGTTTGCGAGCTATCCAGAAAAAGCCTTCTCAATGGCAGCCTGACAGTGCAACAGAAGTGTGTCGAACACGGGGACTGACACATTGCCTGAGTTCAGAAGCAGACCAACCTCAGTACAACCCAGAACGAGACAATCGATCCCGCCGTCCACCACAAGCCGCTCAGCGATTTGCTCAAACGCAGTGCGGGAATCATCACGCACGAGATCCTTGCAAAGCTCCTCGAAGATAATTCGATGGCAATATGTGCGATCTGGCCCAATGGGCACCACCGGGTCCAAGCCGTAGTCGCGAAACCGTCCCAAATAGAAATCTTGCTCCATTGTATATCTGGTCGCTATGATGCCCGGTCTGTTGAAACCAGCTGCCTTTATCGCTGTCGCCGTCGCGTCAGCAATGTGTAAGAACGGAATTGTCAGAGACGCGGTAATCGCTGGAGCCACCTTGTGCATGGTGTTCGTAGCCAATATCACCAGCCCAGCACCATTCTTCTGCAATTCTTGAGCGATTCGCCCCAGAACGATCCCAGAATCATCCCATCTCCCACTTTGCTGGAGCTCCTCAATGGCAGCAAAATTCACACTGCGCAAAATCTGGCATTGTGCCCTAGGCACTCAGTGGCGTGCCCTGTAGCCCCGTCGAATCTGGTTGTGAGAAATGGGCATCCACTGTGAAGGGCCAAGGGCTCGGAGTTCTGGGCAATCCTGGGCGCTCTTGGCCGCTCTCTGGGATTATCGCGTGCTTTTCCACAGATTTAAGAAATTGAACAACAACTTCCATGTTCAATGGTTTCGGCTGCAGGGGGGACCACCCAGAGGCCCCGCCGAGGTCCCCGAGGCGCCCAAGAAGAGCCCTCAGGAGGCTTTCAAGAGGCCCTCGAGAAGCCTAAGAGGTGCGCAAGAACCGCCCCAAGAGACGCAAAGGGGCTCCAAAAGAGGCCTCCCAGAGGCCCCCAGAAGGCACTCCAAGAGGCATCCAGGACGACTCTGGCCCACAGCCCAGCAACGGTGGCGGGATATACTGAAAACTACTACACGCCAGTCGGAAGAAGTAGGTGGGAACATGAAGTAGGAAGGCGTTGGAAGCAGATTGGGTTTCCGCCCGCCCCCTGAAGAGGAGGGAAGAGAAGGAAACCAGTCGATCCTTGAAGCAGACAGACGCCTAAAGTAGATTGGGATCTAGAGATCCGAGAATAACTACTTTCAACGGCCCGCGTGTATGTCCGCCGCCGCCTGGTGCTTGCCCACAAAAGTGCACGGCGTGCCAGAGTTCAACGCCCCTTGGCTCCTCCTGAAATGGTGCCGTGACAGACGGTGCGGTGACCTTGAAATCCCCCAGGACCTCACCGCACGGTCCGGCAACGCACGGTTTTGGGACCCTGGGGGCCCCTGTCGCCCGAGACATCCTCGGAGAGGGACTCGAGTCCCCAAACCGTGCGGTGACCCCGAATCCCCACCGGCTCACCACACGGTGTGGTCACCACACCGTTTGGGGGCCCCCGGAGCTCGACCGGTCGCCTCGGCCACCCAGAGCAACAAATCCTGGGCCGTGGGCCTTCCCGCTCGAGACCCCGCTCTCTACTGGGATGGCCGTGGGAGTTTCTGAGTGGATGGGGGGGTTACAAGTGGATGCCAAGGTGGGTCATATCTGGCCAACTCGGCTCATAAGTGGGTTGCAAGTGCCCCGAGTGACTTCGGGGGGTCAACGATCTGGGCGGAGTGGGCTCCGCCCACTAAACGGAATTATTGAACCCCCCTAAGCCACTCGGGGCGCTTGTACCCCACTTATAAGCCAAGCTTGGCCAGATATAACCCACCTTCTTAGCATCCACTTGTACCCCCTCTATCCACTTAGAACCCCCACGGCCATCTCAGTAGCCCCTCACCCTCTCCACTAATGTTGTGCACGCCTTCTGCCCTCGGCCACACGCAAGGGTGACCATAGGCAAGAGCGACAGCTGGCGCCCGGCTCTCAGGGAGGGCCGAGGGAGAGGCCAACCCCGAGACGAGTGCGCTGGCCAAGACTGGCGGGCCCCTGCGGGCCCGCGCCACAGGTTACCCTGGCGGAGGCCCCCCCTCGCAAGCCTGGACCCCTCCTCCGGGGCCTGCTTTCCACGCCACACAGCTCTTTGATACTCCCGGGGCGCGGCGAGGGCCCCTGGAGGCCAAGAACGGCCGAGGGCCTGCACGGCCAGGATGGCCTCCAAAACGGCTCCGATGGCCCACAGAGGAGGAGCCCAAGATGACCCAAAGATGCCTCCAAGACGCCCCGAGGTGCAGCCAAGACGGCTCGGGACGGGCCCAAGACGGCCCGAGACAGGCTAAGGCGGACCCCACGAGGGCTCCAAGAGCACCTCTAGAGAGCGCTAAAATCATTGATTTCAAATTGTTGTTGAATGATCTGATCGTACTCGCCTGATCGGGCTTCAGACGCTCATCGACGCTCCAAGACGGCCCCGTAGGCCCCAAAGATCAAATCAAAACGGCTTTAGAGGCTCCCAGGAGGCCCGCACGACTACCCAAGAGGGCCCACAGACGGCCAAAGAGGCCCCGAGACGGCCCCACGACAGGCCCATCGACGTGCAAGACGACCCTAAAGCGCCCAAAGTGGGACAAACGACTGCCAAGAGAGGACCCCAAGAAGCTCCCAGGAGGCCTCAGGCACCTGAGAGGCCCTTGGAGGCCCCCAAGAGGTCCTTCAGAGGCTGCCACGAGGCTCCCAGGAAGGCATCAGGGGGCCCCAAGAAAGCCGCAAGAGGCCTCATCTTCTTCTTCCTCCTCCTCGTCCTCCTCGTCCTCCTCGTCCTCCTCGTCCTCCTCCTCGTCCTCCTCGTCCTACTCGTCCTCCTCCTCCTCCTCCTCCTCCTCCTCCTCCTCCTCATCATCATCATCATCATCATCATCATCATCACCATCATCAACATCATCATCATCATCATCAGCAGCAGCAGCATCATCATCATCATCATCAGCAGCAGCATCACCATCATCATCATCATCCTCATCCTCGTCCTCGTCCGCGTCCTCGTCCTCGTCCTCCTCATCCTCCTCATCCTCCTCATCCTCATCCTCATCCTCATCATCATCAGCATCATCATCAGCATCAGCATCAGCATCAGCATCATCAGCATCATCATCATCAGCATCAGCATCGGCATCATCATCAGCATCATCATCAACAACATCATCGTCGTCATCATCATCATCATCATCGTCATCGTCATCAGCATCAGCATCAGCATCAGCATCAGCATCAGCATCAGCATCAGCATCAGCATCAGCATCATGCTCCTCGTCCTCCTTATCCTCCCTCCTCTCCTCCTTTCTCTTTCTTCCCCAAGAGTTCTCCCAAAGGGTTTCCACAACGGCTAGGGGAACACAATCCAATAGTTTGACAGACTTTGGTCACATGGTCGTTTCCGGAAGTAGGGGGCGGAGTGATTTGCCGTAGGCGGCTTCGATAATGTCCGCCGAACTGTTACCGCCGAGCCGACACCTTACTAGCCTGTTCAACTCTTGGTAATACACCACGGTACTTGCTGGCGACATTCCGCCGATTACGCCCACTACCAACTTCTGCCTATCTTGTCCAGTGGTCATCGCATGATGTTCCAACTCCTCACTCGAATCCTTGATTTCGACTCTTTGTGATACACCTCCGCTGGACGAAAGATGTCTTGCCACATGCTTTGGCGCGGCGGGGAAGCTTGTAGACAGGGTTTCGCGGCACCTCCGAAAGTACGCGAGCCTTGAATTACATGAGCTTCCATGGCGGAGAAATCTGGCACATTGACCACGAATACACATCTACCAATCAGCCTAGTCTGTCTTGAGTCCGCATGGCTACTGTGAGCAAAGTCTCGAATGTGAGGACGATTGAGGTTTTCAAAGCCATGTGGCGACTCTGGCATGACATTCAGCTTAGTGTATCAGCTTACCGCCGCAGTTGTACTTCAGGGGAATTGGTTGAACCTCGGCATTTTCATACTTTACACGTGGGAAGCGGCCTGGAGAGCTGAACGCCCCCAACTTGAAATGCATTGTCTCCGCTGGCGGTTTGAATAAACAGTCGGGTGAAGTCAGTGGCGGGTGCAATAATGAACCCGTATGATTAGGATGCACGGTAAGGATGCAAGGATCTTGGGATGTCATCTCGACGCTTTGCGAGCGGGGCATGGCCAGCGAAAGCGGTCAAGGATGGGCTCAAGGGGCAGGATGCAAGGGTAACCTTGGACAGTTGCTCATCAGTAGCATGAAGGTTGACTGCATTCACCATGCCAGCGGCAAGGAGCGGCTTCTCTGGCGCATCGAACGTCAACGTCCTGGAAAATAATGCCTTCTTTTTTTTGCCACTGGGGCTGTCTCAGAGGGCGCGACAGACTGCAGAAACGGGCTCTCTCGTGGAGGGGACCTCACCGAGCCGAAAAAGCACCCCTCGCCGAAAGCGGCCGGCTGCATCTAAGCAAACTGTCGCTGCTCTGGCAACTGCTGCAGCGGAATCGACCGGCATCCTCATCCTGATCCCCGAGCCCCCTCCCCCACCCCTCCTCCTCCTCCTCCTCCTCCTCCTCCTCCTCCTCCTCCACCCTGCACGTCCTCGTTCTCGGAACCCGGGGATCCTCTCGGCGATCCTCTCGGGGCGCTCTCGGGACGTCTCGTCCGCCCTCGGGCTACTGGCACCGGGGCTCGAGGCAGCAGGCTCGAAGGGACCCTGTACTGGAGGCCTGGAGATGGGCACCAGCACCAACACAGTTGGGTGCCTCCAGAAGGGGAAGATGATCCTAGATTTCGGTGTTGGCGGTAATGCTTCGGTCACCTTGGGAGCCAGAATAATTTGTCTTTGTGCCTGGCAACGTAATGCCTCCAAACAGTGTCCTCACAGGCTCAGGCGCCGCGCCGTATCTGGCAACGCAATGCCTGTAAAAAGTGTCCTCACAAGCTCAGGGGCCGCGCCCTATCTGGCAACGTAATACTACCACCATCACCGAGATTAGGATATTCTTCCCTCGGTGAAGGCACACAGCCGATCTTGGTGTTGGTGTCAACCTCTGGGCCTGCGACTGTACGTTCGCGAAATATGTAAACCTGCTGTTGGTCGCACGGCGTGCGCCTATTTTCAAGACGCTCCCGGCAGCAATGCGCTGCCCGAGCTCGGCCACAGCTTGCCGGAGGCTGCGCGGGGCTTGGCGTCTTCAAGCTCCTCCCGGCCCTCGTCTCCTCCGCCCCGCCCCCCGCCCACCCGCGCTTGCTCGCTCCACCCGTCGGGCAGGAGGAAAAAAAGCTCGGCGATCGAAGAGGGCGAACAGTCCAAGAATTCGAGGATACCTCCCCAGAACGGGATTCCTCCTCCACCTCCACCTCCCCCTCACCACCACCACCACCCCCAACCCCTCCCCCTCCGAAGCCAAAAAGAAAGGCGGGCGACTCCACGGATTAGGCCCAGGTGAGCGAAAAACGTACCACGCGTGTTGCGTTCAGCATGCCTCCCTGGCCAGACCAAGGGTCGTGCACTAATTTTGCACCCAGAGGCGGGGAAGGCTGAGGCAGCGCCTCCCAGGGCGTGCCAACTGAAACAGCGACGTTGATAATGAAGTCTTACGACAGAGGCATCCGTCCACTGCTACAGTTGTCTGGTTACTTTGGCAAAGCGTGCGCACGCAGGGCAACAACGAAGCAACAAACAAACACGCAGGGCAAGCAGGTGTCAAAACTCAAATGGGGTACATAATGGCAGTTGTAGGATAGCGAGAGGAAGGGATGATCGGTGAGAGAAAGATGAAGTTGTGCGTGCATGTGTGCATGTTTCTAGGCTCTGACAGCCCATGGATACCCACATATTGACAGCGTCAAAAAAGGTATCTACAAAAAGCGTGTTGCGTAAGCTCAAGGACAAATTGCGGCCCGTTTGCCACAACTGCCAAGAGGGGCAAGCTCTCTCCCACAAGGCAGATAACGTCTGGCATTGCACTAAACGTTTCCGGGGTCAAGCTTGGCTTGCGGGAGCTCCTTGGATGCCACCCGGTCCTATGTCAGACCGTAGGTGGGACAGAAATTAACACACGGACGCGGAAGTGGGCGTGATCGAATTGAGGGTGAAGACACCTAGTCCGAAAAATCGCTGCAAGGCGGTGGAAGCACATGGAAAAGGGATAATGAGAAGAAAGGGGAGGAGACTGCGCCACTGCAATACTGACGTCTCCAGCGTCTCTTCGCCGACTTTCTGCCGTAGCAAGCGGCTAGAGCAGCGAGCACATGAGTAGTCCAGGCTGACGGCAAGAAGAAACCAAACGCCCACGCAGCGAGACTAGTGATGTGCTCTGGTAGCGCTGTCCCAGCGAGCGTATTTCAAGGGGCCCAAGGACACACAAACAAAAACACACAAATAACAGGAATTTAACTATGACCAACAAGGGACAAAGGAGAGGAGGATACGGGCAACTTGTGCGCAGGAAACTTGCCATGTGCAGCCAAGCTCGGCGTGGGAATTGCGAGTGGAGACGCCCTCCAGGCCCCTCGTGGCAACTACCCTATAGCATACTGCTGCAATCTGCCTCACGGATCAAACTTGCTGGGTTTCTTATCCAAGCCTCATCATACAAGACATCACCTGCATTCTCGTACTTTGGCGTCAGGACACACTCTGGGCGAGGCTACAAAGGCTGTTACGCGCACTGAAAACCAGGTGTACCACCGTGCCAGGCTTGTGTGCAACACCCGTGTGGGGAATCGGCTTAATTGATGCTCGGTGGTGGTGGAACATCTGCTGCACGTTTGATCTCGCCTTTGAATTTCCCACTGGCGTCGCAGCGCCCGTGCAGGTGACAGAAGGAACATTTTGCACCAAACTTGCACGTGCCCCTTCTGCAGACAAAGTTACAGTACCGAGGGCAAGCCCCCTTGATGCAACGGCCCTCTGGGCAGCAGTCTGAACAAAGCTGACGAGTCTTGAAGAGCTGCTCGTCGAGCACTCGCGTGGGCGCCCGTGGGACCAGCCATTTCCTAGCCTCCAGTCGCTGATACCAGGTCGGTCGGCACGTCAGCGTAGTGCACTGCCAGTGCCCGCAGCCATGAAGCACGCCTACAGAACCACACGTCGGACACATGATGTCATCCACGTGCTCGTCGGTCTGGGTGCCGATCGAACTGACGGACGGCGCGCTCGCCAGTGCGTGCGCGGCGTCACTCGGAGCCTCCGGCCAACCCTCCACCACGCGCTCGCGGTCCTCGTCCGCGCGGGCGGGGCCACCGACCGAACTGTGGCTGTCCTGCATCGACGTCGACACCGTCCTCGAGGTGCTGAGGGGCGAGGCGAGGCAGGGCGCGAGCGGGGCCGCGTCGCCCGCGCGGGCGGCAGGACAGCGGCCCGAGGGCTGGAAGAGGTCCCCATCACTGCGGGCGCGCGCGAGGCCGGGTCTCACGTCCACCACCTCGAGGAAGCCGTTCTTGACGACGAGCTTGACTGCGGCGGCCCCGCGCCTCGTCACCACCGGGGCGCTTGCCGCGCCAGGCGTCTCTGGGGCCGCCCCGCTGAGCATTCTGAGGGCAGCTCTTGCAGTATCGGCCACGCCTGGCCGCGAGCGGCTCTTCGGCCAGAAAGGCTCGAGCTTGAGCCAAAATGGCTACGGATGGAAAATAATGCCTTCTTGGTCGGAACACGCATTGTGGCCCCGAACAGACAACCACCGCGCGGCGAAGAGGGGCCAGCATGGTACACATTCTCGGACTGTCCAGTGCCCAGAACCAGCTAAGCCTGGCGAGGGACCCAACCATTGCGCAGTTATGAAAAACGCAGTTGTGAATATCGTCTTCGGTTTGGCACCCTGTGGGGCCACGAAACTTGCAAAGGGTGTGTCGAAAAATGTTCGGCGGGCGCGCGTCAACGCAGCCACTGGGGCCTTGGGTGGAGCTCCCGTCGGGGCCACGAGACGTGTGAGGGGGGTGTGCCGACAGGGGTGACTGGTGCGGAGGGCAGGGGCAGGGATGGGAGGGAGGAGGGGGAAGAGGAGAAGGGAATGAGACGCGGGGCGCTGTCACCTCGAAATGAAGACCCAACACCACTGGATAGTCTGGAAAACCATACATGCACGTAATGCTTGAGCGGTGGAAAGATGTGCCAGCCACTGTGCCATAGGGCTGCTCAGGCAAGCACCAACCACATCCCACCAACTCAGTATCACGAACTGCTGCGATGATTGTACCCACAATACGCTTCACACATAAACTCGCCATGCCAGCACACGTGGCTGCTCTTATCACCCCATCGCTTGTGCATGCATTGACCCTGGTACGTACACGCGCAGTTCAGGGACAAAGGTCCTTGGAGCCAAAACACGGAGCGAGTGGCTTGGTCACGGCCTTCCTCTAGCGATGAGGTTGAGGGGCATCTGCATTCTCCAGACGGGTCCCTCCCCAGTCCCCCCCTTCTCGCTCCCACTCCTACTCCTCCTGATCCCCTTCCCCCCTGCTCGTCCTTCGACTCCCCATCCTCTGCCGCCGCCGCCTCCTGTTCCTCCCCGTGCCCCTGGTCCCTGCTCCTGCTGTGATGCCCTGCCCGCTGCTCCCTGCACGGTGAGGCCCACGGCGACGACACATACCACAGACAGAGAACCAGTGCTGGTGCTTTTGGCCCCTGGCCGCCCCCCAGATTGCGCCATGCTTCCCATGTAGACGCCACCAGAAAGCGACGAGCTCCCAAGGGGCCTCCAACACGGCCCCAAGAGGGCCCCACGAGAGCATATAGGGCCCACGACCGCCCGGGAGGCCCCAAAGACGTCTGCCTCGTTGCTCCCGCGAGGCCTGACGATGACCCTGTGATGGCCCTGAGCAGCACGAAGATGGCTTCAGGAGTGCTCAGGATGACCGACAGATGTCCCCGATGTCACCTAAAATGGCCCCGAGAACGCCAAAATTGACGCCAGAGGCTTCAAGATGGCTCGAGGAGGTCCCAGATGGCCGCACAAAGCTCCCAACTGTAGTTCCAAGATGACTCAGCATTGGGGCCTGAAGAGCACCTCAGAGCTTGGCGCGTGCTATCTTTTTCGGATTGGGACTATGGCAAACTACCTCTGCTCGCCAAGCTCCTACACCAGCCCACCATTGAGTCCGCCTTGACAACGTAGCACGTTGATCAAGGGTGCCCTGCACCAGAAACATCAAAGGCAACCTACACTGGAGGGAACAAAGTACCCTGGCGACGTACCCAACCCCTGCGCCATGCGGGGCATGAGTAGCTCGGGAGACGTTATACGGAGGTGATGACGTGACACGGGCACATATACTTCTGCGAGCGGCATTCGCGAGGCTCGCAGCCCCCAAGTATGGCGAAGTCCCGCTCAGATCTGCGTGGTGCCTCACTCCGCTGGACCCACCACCAGTCCTGGAAAGTAGCGACGGTGTCGCAGATCGCAACCCCCCCAGGACGACGAGGTCCCGCTCAGATCTGCGCGGTGCCTCACTCCGCTGACCCAACAGCAGCCCCCGAAAGTGGCGACCAGTTTCGCAGATCGCAGCCCCCCAGGGACGGCGAGGTCCCGCTCAGATCTGCGCGGTGCCTCACCCCGCTGGACCCACCAGCCGCCCCCGAAGGTGGTGACAGTTTCGCAGATCGCTATGCTGGCCCCCCAAGCAGCACTCGAAAGTGGCGACAGTGTCGCAGATCGAAGCCCCCCAGGGACGGCGAGGTCCCGCTCAGATCTGCGCGGTGCCTCACCCCGCTGGACCCACCAGCAGCGCTTGAAAGTGGCGACAATGTCGCAGATCTCACCCCCCCAGGGACGGCGAGGTCCCGCTCAGATCTGCGCGGTGCCTCACGCCGCTAGACCCACCAGCAGCGCTTGAAAGTGGCGACAATGTCGCAGATCTCACCCCCCCCCGGGACGGCGAGGTCCCGCTCAGATCTGCGCGGTGCCTCACGCCGCTGGACCCACCACCAGCCCCCGAAAGTGGCGACCAGTTTCGCAGATCGCACCCCCCCAAGGACGACGAGGCCCCGCTCAGATCTGCGTGGTGCCTCACTCCCCTGACCCAACAGCAGCCCCTGAAAGTGGCGACCAATTTCGCAGATCGCAGCCCCCCAGGGATTGCGAGGTCCCGCTCAGATCTGCGCGGTGCCTCACCCCGCTGGACCCACCAGCAGCCCCCGAAGGTGGTGACAGTTTCGCAGATCGCTATGCTGGCCCCCCAAAACAGCACTCGAAAGTGGCGACAGTGTCGCAGATCGAAGCCCCCCAGGGACGGCGAGGTCCCGCTCAGATCTGCGCGGTGCCTCACCCCGCTGGACCCATCAGCAGCGCTTGAAAGTGGCGACAATGTCGCAATTCTCACCCCCCCAGGGACGGCGAGGTCCCGCTCAGATCTGCGCGGTGCCTCACCCCGCTGGACACACCAGCAGCCCCCGAAAGCGGCGACCAGTTTCGCAGATCGCAACCCCCCAAGGACGACGAGGTCCCGCTCAGATCTGCGCGGTGCCTCACCCCGCTGGACCCAACAGCAGCACTCAAAAGTGGCGACAATGTCGCAGATCTCAACCCCCCTGTGACGGCGAGGTCCCGCTCAGATCTGCGCGGTGCCTCACTCCGCTGGACCCACCAGCAGCCCTCGAAAGTGGCGACAGTGTCGCAGATCGCAGCCCCCCAGGGATTGCGAGGTCCCGCTCAGATCTGCGCGGTGCCTCACCCCGCTGGACCCACCAGCAGCCCTCGAAAGTTGCGACGGTTTCGCAGATCGCAGCCCCCAGCGACGGCGAAGAGAGGGCAGGAGGAGGCAGGAGGCGGGAGAAGAAGACGCGACCACGGTGCTCTAGTCAAAACGAGTACCCAACCAAGGAGGGCTGGGAAAACAAACGATAACCATGACCAAAACTGAACGCGGAAACGTCGGTGCCAATCTTGGCCTTCGTCCATCGTCGCCATCGTCAACTCGTGGATCATCCTCACGAATCGGCGACGGCCGGCATAGATCATGACCAAGGTCGGCGTCGAACAGATCCCGCAACATCTTGGTCTTGGTCATCGTGTTCCTTCCTTCGATGCACCCCACTCCGCGCCACAGAGATCGATCGCCGCTGGTCAGGTACAGAAGTCGCACGCCGAGGAAGCCGCTCGGACCGCCTGTGTGGAAACAAAAAGGTACCGATACCGCTACTCCCCAGACCTGTACCAGGATGAATTATGACGAAGATTTCGAGGCGAATCCAGCCGTGGCAACGAGGGCCTCCCAGGAGGCCCCAAAAAGGGGAAAATGGGCGAAGGGTATCGGTATCGGTAAAAGATGACCCCAAATAATCACAAAGGGGACAACAGAGTTCGGGGCCGCGGGGGAATCATCAAAGATTGTCCTGGCAGGGTCAAGCAGACAGGATGTTGAGAAGGGGGCTCCTCCTCCTCCTCCTCTTGCTCCTCCTCCTCCTCCTCCGGCTCCTCCTTCTGCGGCTCCTCCTCCTCCTCCTCCTCCTCCTCCTCCTCCTCCTCCACCTCCTCGTCCTCCTCCTCCTCCTCCTCCTCCTCCTCCTCCTCCTCCTCCTCCTCCTCCTCCTCCTCCCCCTCCTCCCCCTCCTCCCCCTCCTCCTCCTCCTCCTCCTCCTCCTCCTCCTCTTCTCCTCCCCCTCCTCCTCCTCCTCCTCCTCCTCCTCCTCCTCCTCCTCCTCTCATCATCATCATCAGCATCATCATCATCATCACATCCACACCTCCTCCTCCTCCTCCTCCTCCTCCTCCTCCTCCTCCTCCTCCTCATCCTCATCCACCTCCGCCTCCTCCTCCGCCTCCTCCTCCTCCTCATCTTTTTTCTCCTCCTCCCCTCCTCCTCCCTCCTCCTCCTCCTCCTCCTCTTATTCTTCTTCTTCTTCTTATTATTCTTCTTATTCTTCTTCTTATTATTATTATTATTAGTATTCTTCTTATTCATATTGTTATTCTTATTATTATTCTTATTCGTATTATTCTTATTATTCTTATTATTTTATTATTCTTCTTATTATTCGTATTATTATTCTTTTTCTGCTTCTTCTTATTATTATTATTACTATTATTATCATTATTAATAGTTTTTTCTTATTATTATTCTTCTTCCTCCTCCTCCTCCTCCTCCTCCCCCTCCCCCTCCCCCCCCCTCCTTTCCTCCTCCTCCTCCTCCTCTTCTTATTGTTCTTCTTCTTATTATGTTTATTATTCTTCTTAGTCTTCTTCTTCTTCTTATTACTATTATTATTATTATTAGTATTAGTATTATTCGTCTTATTATTATTCTTAGTCTTCTTCCTCCTCCTCCTCCTCCTCCTCCTCCCCCTCCCCCTCCTCCCCTCTCCCCTCCTCTCCTCCTCCTCCTCCTCCTCCTCCTCCTCCTCCTCCTCCCTCCTCCCCTCCTCCTCCTCCTCCTCCTCCTCCTCCTCCTCCTCCTCCTCCTCCTCCTCCTCCTCCTCCTCCTCCTCCCTCCTCCTCCTCCTCCTCCTCCTCCTCCCCCTCCCCCTCCCCTCCCCCTCCCCCTCCCCCTCCCCCTCCCCCTCCCCCTCCCCCTCCTCCTCCTCCTCCTCCTCCTCCTCCTCCCTCCTCCTCCTCCCTCCTCCTCCTCCTCCTCTCTCCTCCTCCTCCTCCTCCTCCCCTCCCCTCTTCCTCCTCTTCCTCCTCCTCCTTCTCCTCCTCCTCCTCCTTCCTCCTCCTTCTCTGCGAGCCTGGTCCTGGCTGCGCCGCTGGTGCTCACGCAACGCGCTCATGGACGCCAACAGCAGCGCGAGGAACGCGGCCGGAAGCTGCACGCCCGTGGCGAAGGCGCACAGCGAGGCGGCTCCAGTGCATGTATGGGCCGCGCGCCGCCCAGGGGGGGAGGGTAGCGAGGGCGGGCCTCCCCCGGCGGCCATCGGAGAGCCTCTCCGCGCCTCCCTCCCTCCTCCCTCCTCCTCCTCCTTCTGCCTACCTCCTCCCTCCTCCCTCCCTACATCCTCTCCTCCCTCCTCCCTCCCTCCCTCCTCCCTCCCCTCTCCCCCTCCTCTATTATCCCTCCTCCCTTCCCTCCTCCTTTCCTCTCTCCCTCCCTCCCTCCCCCCTTCCGCCCGGAAGCCCGGGTGGTCGAGTCGGGTCGGGCCGGGATGGGCCTCTCTCTTCGCACCGTCCTCTCTCCCTCTCTCTTCCTATCTGGGATGGCTTTCGCTCCCCTTCCGATCTCGCCCCCTCCCGACCTCCCTCTCCTCTGCCTGGCGCTTCTGGGGGGGAACGGTACCCAGACCGCTGCTCGTTCTGGTGTCCCTCTGTCGCCACGGCTGGATTCGCCTCGGAGCTCTGGTCCTGCCCTGGGGTGCAGCGGGAGCGGTATTCTTCTCCCCGTGGGCTCCTGGCAAGCGGGCCGGGTCGGGCTGGGCCCTCTTTCCCCCCTTGGGGTGGCTCCTTCTCCCCCTTGCTGTCACCGTCCCGTACCTGCGGGGTACGTCGACCAGGCAGTCTAGTGGGGATCGGACGAGCTCCAGGCAGGTGCTCTCTGCCTGGCCCCCCCCCCCACGTTGCGGGGAGTCTCTGAGTTGCCTCTATGCTGCTTCGCTCTGGCCGAGGCTCTGGGCGGAGGTGTTGGCTGGAGCTGTGAGGTCCTCCGGAGGCTGGACGGTTTTCCTGAGTAGGGGCTGTGCCCGCCCCCCCTCGGCGCCTTGGCGCCGCTCCCCGGGCTCGTGGTGAGCGCAGGGGGGGGGTCCAGCGCCGACCTAAGGATTCCGCCTAGGCCCCCGAACGAGCAAAAGCTTTCGCCTAACTACCCTCCCCCCGTCCCCTCCAGAGCTGGCGCTTTGTCTTCACGAGCCGTCGCAGCAAGGTCGCTTCCGAACCCTCTCCGGGTCGTGGCTCCTTGCTAAAAGGAAGCGCCGTCCGACGCCTCCGCCGCCAGCTCAAAGGGAGCACACCTACCTACCTACCTACCTACCTACCTGCCTGCCTGCCTGCCTGCCTGCCTGCCTACCTACCTACCTACCTACCTCCTCCTCCTCCTCCTCTTGCTCCTCCTCCTCTATCTCCTCCTCCTCCCTCCTCCCTCCTCCCTCCTCCTCCTCCTCCTCCTCCTCCTCCTCCTCCTCCTCCTCCTCCTCCTCCTCCTCCTCCTCCCTCCCCGGAAAAAGGCTTCTCGGATGGCGGGGGGGCCCTCCTGAGGAGTCCTGCCGCCTCGTGAGGAGCCCTGGACGCCTCTCGCTCCTCGACTGGGAGATCGATTCGCTTTGACCCAAAAACTGCGCCTCCTCCTCCTCCTCCTCCTCCTCCTCCTCCTCCTCCTCCCTCCTCCCTCCTCCTCCCTCCTCCCTCTCCTCCTCCCTCCTCCTCCTCCCTCCTCCCTCCTCCCTCCTCATCGACTGGAAAATTCGCTTTGACCCCAACACCGAATTGCGCAATGACGAAGACTGCGATCATGGTTCGGTAGATCTACGAACATTCTGCGCATGCATGCGCAGATTCGTCGAACAAAAAATCAGTAGTCGACTTCCTACTCGTAGTCGATCTCTTACTCGACCTTCCCCCCTCGGCGCGCCGCCGAATGTCAACACGCGGATCCAGTCCCTGAAGAGGTCCTTGTCGACGAAGCTGGCGACGTGCGTCCCGATGGGTATGGCGGCGACGGCCCCGATCGCGGCAGCGGCGTACCCCATGCTCGGCGGCGAGCCCGGGGGGAGGTGAGAAGGGGCGGGCCTTCTCAGAAGGCTCGGAAGTCCCCTGGCCTTCTGAGAAGTTTTCTAAGCCTTCCTCAAAGACACAAAACACTTCTCAGAAGGCGCGAGGGCTTCTGAGAATTCCCACCGCTTTCTGAGAAGGCCTTCTCCTTCTCACTTCCCCCCCTCGCTCGCCGCCAACATGCTGTGGGAGGCCTCAAACTGTGCGCGCACAACGAAGAAATACCACGCCTTGGGGGGCGTCGTCAGCCACGCAATGAGCACGCCGTTGCAACGCCACTCGTCTTTCTCGATCCCCGAGAACAAGACGAACGCGGAAATTGCCGGCATAGGAACTGTGAATATCCGCCACCGTGCGCTGCGAGCAAAGCTCAGACAGTGGCATAGAGGGACTGTATTCCGTAGTTCTTGAAGGTTCAGGCTCGCGCAAGGGCGGGCAAGGTGCACAGGACCTTTTGTCCGCCCAAGACGCCCCCAAAGCCCCCAGAGACCCCCAGGATGCTCCTCAGAGACGAGAGGCCCCAAGGCTCGGAGGAGGCCGAAATGCGAGATGAGACAACGGCTCCTCCAACTCGGTCCCTGGACCCCCCTCCTGCGGTCCAAACGCACCTGCTTCCGAGCTGCGCCCAGCCGTGGTGGCGGGGTGTCCCCCCGAAGGCCAACTGTCGCAGCCTCAGCTCCTCTTCCTCCTTCTCCTCCTCCTCCTCCTCCTCCTCCTCCTCCTCCTCCTCCTCCTCCTCCTCCTCCTCATCCCCCTCCTGTGAAGGTCGGGGTAGGGCGGACGCCGACCGACATGCCCTTCAGCAGGCCGCCCGCGACTCCGAGGAAGAGCGCCCAGCCGAGCTGCGCCCGCCCGCGCACGCTGTAGCGCGCACCCGCGGCCGCGGGAGCGCGCCCGGGCCGCGGCCCAGGCTGCTCGCTCTTTGCGGCCGCGTGCGGCGTGGCAGGGCGGCCGAGGATCGGCGGTTCAAGACGAGCCTAGGAACACTCTTTGTTTGTGCCCTGGGGGGGGCGTAGGACACGGGTGCACGCACCAGTGAGGACACGCTACCACTTGCAGCGCAACCTCCGCACTACTCCTGCAGTGCTCCAGGAGCGAGGAGAAGCGGCACCCTCACCACCACCGGGGACCGCTGCAGCAGGAGGGCCCCCCTGGTGGTGTGGGCCCCCCGCCCCTCGCTCGAGGCACCCGCGCCCCCTGCTCGAGGAGGCATCGCTCTAGAAGCCAGGAGAAGCGGCACCACCACCACCACCACGGGCCGCTGCAGCAGGAGGGTCCCCTTGGTGGTGTGGTCCCCCCACCCTCGCTCGAGGGACCCCTACAGCGACACTAGGACGTCCACTGCTTTTCGCCGTGGTCGGCGGTGGCTGTAGTAAACCTCCCTTTAGTGAAAACGGCCTGGGACCGGAACCGACGGACCTGGACCCGCAAAAATGACGGCCGCGACGCCCTGTCGCGCACCGAAAACGGCCAATTCGCGAATCGACTTGTCAAGGTAGGATGTCTGCCCACCCCCGACGTGGGAACGCCGCACTTTCCACAGCAAAACCATGGAGGCCCAGGGCACCCTGGAGGCCAAGCAGGGTACTTCTTGGCAGGGGCCTCCGCTGTGCCCCCCTGTTCGGGCCAGGCCTCGTGGACTCGTGGGCATCCCGCGCTGGAGGCGGCCCCCCTGGATGGTGCTGGTGGCGCCGCTCCTGACTCAAGGGGCCGAAGAACACACACACACACACACACACACACACACACACACACACACACACACACACACACACACACACACACACACACACACACACACACACACACACACACACACACACACACACACACACACACACACACACACACACACACACACACACACACACACACACACACACACACACACACACACACACACACACACACACACACACACACACACACACACACACACAACACACACACACACACGCACACGCACACGCACACGCACACGCACACGCACACGCACACGCACACGCACACGCACACACACGCACACACACACACACACACGCACACACACACACACAAATGCACACAACTAAATCGATCCCCCATATCTTCTCATATTTTCTGGGTTTTTGTCTTCCCCCCACTTCCCATATTTCCTATATTTTTGAAGGAGCCGACGGGGAATCGACGATTAATTGTGTCTGTGTGTTTTTTCCCTCCTGACTCACTCCCCTGAGGGACGCGCGGCAGTGAAGGTCCAGCCCGGGACTCCTCTCGCATCCTTCTGGGACCCGAACCCTCAGGGCCCTATCTCAGGGTCGGGCACGTCCTCCCACGGGCGCGTTTTAAAAGAAAAAGGGAACATAGCCACACTAGCTTGCAGACGTGAATTGAACCACTGTCCCTAGGCCATGTTTGGAGCATGCTTGCATCTTCCTCCCGTACACGGGCATGCCCGACTGAACCCTGTTTTTGTCGGGCGTTGGAAGAACTGGGTTTAAAATACCTGGTTTAATGATCTGTACCGGGGGCGCCCCCCTCCGTCCCATCTCCACTAACCGGAGCTGCCGTCACCCGAAAAAACATCAGCTGTGGCAAACCTGGTCTAGTGATTCTGGCCAACTCGAAAGCTCTATAGGGCCCTACCACTAACCGGGTCCCCTCACCCGGGGTCCTGGCCATACTCGATTTGGAACCGCCGAGACGACAGACGCGTCCGGAAGGCCGCCCGCCGACGACGCCGCCAGGGCCCCGCCCGGCGCGCCGGCGGGCGGCGCTGCCTCGGCCGGCCGCGCGCCGTGCCCCCGCGGGCCGAGCCGGTCGACGGCGAGCACGCCGAGCAGCAGGAGGCCGAGGGAGCGCTCGGGCCAGCCACGGGCTCCACCCCCACGGGTCCGGGGGGGGGGTCGGGCGCCAGGAGAGTGGCGTTCGAGGCCCAACATGGCCTGCCCGAGAAAACACGGGGGAGTGTCTCGTGCTGCATCTCTGGGGGGCCTCGCCTGGCCCATCGCGCCAGCCATCCGTGTCGCATGCAGGTCGAGCCCAGGTCGGGCGCGTCGAATCCGTGTCGAGTCCACGTCAGAGTTCGGGTCGAGCCCGCGGCGAGCCCACATCGGAGGCCAGGCCAAGACGGCCGCTGCCGGGGCAGGAGAGGCCCCCGGAAGCTGGCAGGTGAGGAGAGGTCCGGGCCATTCCCCGCTGGCACAGCCTCCTCTCTGCCCGAAAAGCTTCTGGCAAGGGCTTCTGGCAAGACGCCCTTGAAGCCTCCAGGAGTCGAAGGACAGGCAAGCCTGGTCTCAGCGGGGGCCTGGCCCGCACGGGGGCTCCTCGAGGGGGGGACAACTGCTAAAGACGAGGGGTCTGAAACGACGGGACAGCCGCCGCCGCCGCCCCGTCGGCGAAAGCGTCGTCGGGAGGAGGAGGAGGGGCAGGAGGGGGGGGGGGAGGAGGAGTGAGGCAGATGGAGGAGGACGAGGAGTGTCATGAGTGTCGTAGATCCAAGAAGTGAACGGCGAGCGAGGCTCAACCGTCACCCTCGGCCTCCCAGACAGGAGGAAGGGACCCGCAGGCGCCAGCACCGACGGTCAGGGGAAAGGCAAATACCTCGTCGCTCCGCGACTCGCTACCCAACCGAGGCGGCGTGGTGCGTAAGGGGACAGCCGGTCCACCGCGTCACCGCACAGTATTTCCCGACCGTCACCCCTGCCGAATCGGATGGCATGTGCAACTGGGTTTGTACCCCAAGGTTCGCGGACACAAGGTCCCAAGGGACTTACGGAGCACATGGCCCCGCCTCTCAACCAAATGCACACTCCCCGTGCCTGGTACCCATCTCCAGGTCACGGGCGCAGCTAACGCGCCGCTGCCACGGGCAAAGTGCCACGTGGCTGGTGCAAGAACGACGAAAACCGGTTTATCTGCCCCAGCCGCCGCATGCAATTGACACTGACAGTGTGCCCCGAGGAGTGTGTGGCGCTGACACCATGAGAACAGGTGCCAGGCCCCCACCCTCGGGGCAGATGGAGGAGGAGAATGAGGAGGAGGAGGAGGAGGCGGCGGAGGAGGTGGAGGTGGAGGCAGAGGCGGAGGAGGAGGAGGAGGAGGAGGAGGAGGAGGAGGAGGAGGAGGAGCAGCACCAGCAGCAGCAGCAGCACCAAACGCCTCGGAGGCATGTCCACGCAGCTTCCTCGAGCTCGCCGTGCGTTCCCAGAGCTGCCGGGTCCTCTGTTTCTGGGCCACGCTGCGGGCCCCCAGAGAAACAAGAATCCTGAGGGAGGGGGTGGGCCAAGGCTGTCAAAGCAGCGCCCCAAATCGCCGACGCTGCGCTTTCTTGTTTTCCGAATTGGGTTTCGCCCACGCGCCATCGGACCTAGGACACAGGAACATCCCTCAAGAACATGAGACCCTCCGCCGGCCACAACACACAGAACATCTGAGGGTACCCTCCCCGGCATGCACAAGAGCATCCAACAGACACGACGAAAAGCATTACAGTCAACCCGTATCGTGAGGATGCGCGGTAAGAATGCAAGGACCTTGGAGGTCCACGTGAACGTTTTTCGAACGATGTTGGCCGGCGAGACTCGCTACAGACGGGCCGAAGGGGCGAGGACGCGACGGCCATCCTCGGGAAGGTTGCTCCACCCTACTGTGCGGGTTGGCTGTGGGGCACCCTCCCCAAGGGCTCCTAAGTTCGCGCTTCGCGCTGCGCGAAGCGCGAATAACTTCGCGCTCTCGCGCCGCCCCCCAAGGGGGAGAAAAGGAGGACGAGGAGGAGGGGGAGGAGAAACGAGGACCGCGAAGCGCGAAGCGCGAATAACTTCGCGCCCTCGGGGGAGCCCTTGCCTCCCCGAGCCGACCTCGACCTCACACCTCGGCCCGTCTGCACGCGAAGGGGGCTCCTGCGCGTCTTGCCAGGCCACCGGTCCCTGCGGCGGCTCTCGGCTCGGCTGCGGCGCTCGGCGCTGCTGCATCTCTGCTTGTTCCTGGGGGGCCCTCTGTCGGGGAGACGTAAGACCCGGGTACGGGGGACTCGGAAATCCCCGACGAGGTCGTCAAAAAAATGACGAGGCCGAGCCTGCATTTTGACGAGGCCTCCCGCTGCAGACATCCCACGAAACTCCTCCTCGTCAAAATCCGAGTCGCGGTCGTCAAAAAACGATGGCGAAGCCGAGTCCCGGCAAACCCGGGTCTTACGCTCCCCCGACTCTGGGCGACGCTCTGGGCTCCTCCGGGCTCTTCCCCTCGGGCCCGCCAGCTCCTCGCTCAGGTTTCTCGGGCTCCCCGCTCGGGTGCCTAGGCAAAACGCCAGGCAGGCAACGTCAAGCGAAGAGAGTACAACGCCAAGAAGTGCAGCGCAAAGCCGAGCAATGTCGTGCAGCACCAGGCAATGCAAAGCCATGCCTAACAATGCCAAGCCATGCCAAGCATTCCTCTTCATTGCTTTGAAGTGTTCTCAATGGTTCTTGAAAGGATGAAGGCCCCTAGTTGGGGTCGCGCCAGGTTCATTCCCCAACTCTCCTATTCGAAAATGGGTCCTCGTTTTGCCTCCGCAGCGATGCGCGTCTCCTCACCTCTTCTCTTCTCATACCTCTCCCCCTATTCCTCCTCACGCCCCCTGCTAGAACTGCCTCTGCTTTCCGCATCCCCTTTACGCGGATCTTGCCCCCACATGGTCTCCATCCACGGTCTCAGTCGGCGCGCCCGCATGCGGGCCTGCGCCCATGCTTCGGAACCCCTCAAGCGTGTCCTGCCCTTACCGAGACCTCCACCTACAGAGCACCAGTGAACGCGCTCGCATGCGGGCCTGCGCCCATTTCGGTAGACCCCTCACGTGTTGAATGGCCCAGTGGTCGGGGGCGCACAAACATGGATTAGCGATCCATGGACTTGGCGCGCGGTCGCCAAATCCATGGATCGGGGAAGGTGCCCTCCCCCAAAATGCGGCTGGTGCCGCCCCGTATGGAAACGGGGCCCGTCGCTAATCCACGCCCCCTTGATCCATGATTGCGATCGCCTGACAGTGGGGAGCTCGCACTACGGTACCTCTGTGCCCCCGCCCATGTCGGCACACCTCTCACGCGGATCGTGCCCCCCCAGGGAACTCCACCAGCCCAAGGTCCAACCAGGCGAGCCCGCCTGCCTGCCCGCGCAGCATTTTCTGACACACTCCTCCCCTCCTCTTCCCCCCCTCCTCGTCCTCCTCCTCGTCCTCCTCCTCCTCCTCCTCCTCCTCCTCCGCCTCCTCTCCTCCCCCTCCCTCCTCCTCCTCCTCCTCCTCCTCCTCCTCCTCCTCCTCCTCCTCCTCCTCCTCCTCCTCCTCCTCCTCCTCCTCCCCCTCCCCCTCCCCTCCTCTTCCTCCTCCTCCTCCTCCTCCTCCTCCTCCTCCTCCTCCTCCTCCTCCTCCTCCTCCTCCTCCTCCTCCTCCTCCTCCTCCTCCTCCTCCTCCTCCTCCTCCTCCTCCTCCTCCTCCTCCTCCTCCTCCTCTCCTCCTCCTCCTCCTCCCTCCTCCTCCCCCTCCCCCTCCCCCTCCCCTCCCCCTCCCCCTCCTCCCCCTCCCCCCTCCCCCACCTCCTCCTCCTCCTCCTCCTCCTCCTCCTCCTCCTCCTCCTCCTCCTCCTCCTCCTCCTCCTCCCTCCTCCTCCTCCTCCTCCTCCTCCTCCTCCCTCCTCCTCCTCCTCCCCCTCCCCCTCCTCCTCCCCCTCCCCCTCCACCTCCCCCTCCCCTCCTCCTCCCCCTCCGCCACCTCCTCCTCCTCCTCCTCCTCCTCCTCCTCCTCCTCCACCTCCTCCCCCCTCCCCCTCCCCTCCCCCCCCCTCCCCCTCCCCCTCCTCCTCCCTCTCCCCACAGGGAGCTCCACCTGTGGCCTCGGTGGGCGCGACGGCATGCGAGCCCACGCCCACGCCCCAGCGCGACGGCATGCGGGAAAACTGAACAAAATGCAAGGCGATCAGGGGTGGATATTGAGCACGAGCACGCGGCGCGAGGCCGGCGATGCCGGGCTCGACGCCCCGCTCCAGCACGTTGTCCGTCAAGCGCCTGACAGGTACATAGCCCCTCTGTGGGGTGAGGAGGGAACGCGAGCTATGACGACGGGGGTGCTGGACGAGTTGAGCATCGCCGCAACGGGCTTCACGTCGACGATGCGTGGCCCGAGCGCACGCGCAACGCTGGGGCCTCGAATGGCCCCGCCGCCAAGATGGTCGTCCGCGCATGCGCCTTCTAGATAGAAAAGCTTCCCGTGCGCCGCCCGAGCAGCAGAAGAGTCAATCGCCGCCCATCAGCCTTCAAGTCGACCCCCACAGCACTTCTGAGCAGAGGGGGGTATCCGCCCAGGCTTGGCAGGGCCTCTTCGCGGACGCCTTTCAGGGCCATCCTCTGGCCGCGTGGCGCTCAATGCTGCGCGCGTCGCTCAGCCGCAGCCGTTCGCCCATCTCGTCCCTTCTTCCTGTGAACCTTGGTGGCCTCCATGTGGATCGCGGAGATGTCTTGTTTGGCCGCGTGGAAATGAACCCTGTCGGTCCATCTCTGGAGCATCTCGGAACGCGCGATGGCGACCGCGCTGCTGCTGGCCGCCGCCGAGCGGGCGGGAGCTTCCGATGATGAGCCGATGATGCGCTGGGCCAGCCTGCCGCCGTTGCGCCGCGCCGATCGCGCGGCTTCTCTGACCGGGCCGAGGCGAGGGCCCACGTCGCTGACCTCGGCCGCGAGCGCCTTCTTCATCACCGGCGACGCCACCACCTCCATCGGCTCCTTGAATCGGAAATGCATGAGAGGCGGGGACCTCTCCTCGAGCGCGCCCTCCCCATGCTTGACATGCTTCGCTGGCGTCATGGCATAGTCGGGCCAGCTGTAAACCTCGGCGTGGGAATGAACTCGTCTCGGGGTCGCGGAAGCCGGTGCTGGGCGACGATCTCGGGGGCCGCGTGGTCGGAGATGCCGCGGTCGTGGAGCTGCTCGCGTGATATGACCACAAGGCCCATTGTTCGCCTGACTGATCTTCCACGCGGACGTTGCCGCTCTGATCCTGTCAAAACTTGATATATTTGCCCGCGTCATTGCAGAAGTGAATCGGGCCGTCTGCCGCGAGCTCGACCAGCGCGTCTGGGGCCTGCTTCGATTGCGAATCGTGGCAACTACTGCTGCCGTGCTTTCCTGGGAGGTAGCTGGCGCGCGGGCCGTCCGAGAACAAGGCGGGCGAAGGCCGCGCACTTATGTCGCCAGCAATGATGCGCAGCCCCCCTGCTCGGCACAGCTTGCGTCCGTGCCACGTCGGCAGCGAGGGCCCTCGTGATGATGTGCATCTGGCGATGTGATATGTCGTGGTTGTTGATGTTGCAATGGCGGAGCTCCGCATCGGCGTCTTTGGCCATGGCTTCAGCTTCGGCAGCGCCGCCCTCCTAATGCCCACCCACCTGGTCAAAGACGGAGCGGAATATCTGCGTGCGCGGGGCGATCTTTCTCACGAGTACTTCGATATGATGCTCGCTCTTGTGGAACTCCTGGGCGGCGACGCAGGCGCGGGAGAGGTCGCTCTGCCGCAAGTAGTCTGCCTTCTCGAGCGCCTTCACACACCTCCTGCGGAGCATCGCACGGGCGTTCCAGGTTGCGAAAGACACGCCTTTCTCGGTCATGTCTGCCGTCGTCGACGGAGCAATGGCGCCCATCCGTCGAAAACCTACTCGTTACTGCGGTCGAAGAAGAACTTCCCCGTCGGAAATGCTTCGCGAATGGTCGCCAGGACGCGCTATTTGGCGCGGTGATCTCTGCGCGTATTTGGCACGGCGATTTCTGGTCCGAAGCGGGGCGGGCGGCCTTTCCACCTTTGGAACTTCGCAGCGCACCCCCCCGTCACGCCCCCGCCCTTGGTCTTGACCGCTCGGAGCTCCTGCTGTGGCCGACGCGCTGCGATGCCAACTGCTTCAATGAACTGCACCACGAAAAACTTCGACGCCGGCTCGCTCTCGATGCGATACGTGCCGGCCAGGCCTGCTTCTTTGAGCCAGAAGTCGAGCGACTGGGCAGCCGCCTCACGGGTGACGGGGGTCTAAGCAGTGACCTTGAGGATGGTTGGGGCGACCTCCCGTTTGAAGCTCTTGTCCGCATGCTTTGGCGTTTACGGGGCGCGGCTGGCGGGGGCCAGGTCCTTGCGCAGTTGCTGCATCTGCTGCTGGAGGTCGCTAAGCTGTTTGTCGTGGTCATCGAGTTTCTTGTCGTGTTCGCTCTGCCTGGCGCCGAACTTGCCCAGTTGATTCTGGATGCGCTCCTTGATGTCGTCGACCTCGGGCTTGACGCGCACGCTGCCTCCCCAGTGGCTGCTCTGATTGACTCCGCGGATCGCCCGAGTGCCACGCCGATGGGACCCACCGCCGCCGGGGTGGCCGCAGCCGCCGTGTTGGCGAAGGCGAACTCACACTCTTGTTTGATCTGGCCGAAGGATTCGCGGAGCTCGATGTAGACGAGTTCGCGCACGTGGTCGTCGTATCAGGCCCCCCGCGCGAAGTCCTGGGATTCGTCGCTATCGCTGCCAGCACCTCTACCAGCAGCGGGACCTCTCTTCGCCCTCGCCGCCACCACGAGCAGCGCCAGCACGAGGAGCAGCAGCCTCTGGTGTCTCCTTCCTGTCGCCCACGACTTCCTTGGCCTCGCATGCTTTATTTAGGGAGCCCACAAAGGACGTACGCGCCCAGCTATGTACATGAACACGGCCCCTTGACCTGCGAGACCTGCCGCGTGACACGAACATTCGCGCAGCGCGAATTCTCGAAACCAGCGTGGATTCATGTACGTGTACGTCCTTCTTTCGCTCCTGACTATTACGCATGACCCCAGCCCCTCAGCGCTGCAGTGGCTGTGGCGAGAGCGCAGACCGCTGCGCGGGCTGCGCGGCCGACCGGGTCCCCGACCGGGGTGTGAATGGATGGGAGCATGCCGCGGACTCGCGGAAGAAAAGGAGGAGGGGGAGGAGGAGGAGCAGGAGGAGGAGAAACAGGAGGAGGAAGAGGAGGAAGAAGAGGAAGCAGAAACAAGGGGAGGTATCAAAATGAACCCGGCGCGACCCCTGTTGGGGGATTCCCCTGTTGAACATGAAACCGGAACGAACTCTACAAAATGAACCCTGCGCGCCTGCGCAACGGAAATCCACAATGAGCTTGGAATGCTGGCGCATCCTCTGGGGCACGTGCGAGCATCAGATTACGCGTGACACGGACAAGTCTGACGTGTTGGCATGAGTGTACTTGCATGCATCGGAAAACGCGTGACACCCGCATTATTTAGGCAACGTGCGATCATCAGCGACCGCGTGACACAGACGAGTCTGACGTGGCAGCGTGATTGTATGCGCGCGCATCAGCGAACACGTGGCACGGTCGAGTATGACGTGATGCCATGGTTGTATGTACGTGCGTCAGCGAACGCGTGACACGATCGAGTCAAACGCTTCGGAAGGAGTAGATGCGCGTGGATCAGCAAGCGCGTGAAACGCGCATCCTTTGGGCCTTTGGGCCACCTGCAAGCATCAGCGTTCGGTCCCCGCCGGGTCTCCAAGCACCCCTGCCAGGTCTCCAAACCCGACGAAGGGGGCATCTGCGCGGGCACCCTCACCCTGGCGCGGATGCAAGGGTCAGAGGCTGCGCCGGAGGTGGGGGGTAAAAGCTTCAAGACGGGATAAAGGCAATGAGTATGCATGTATGCATGTATGCATGTATGTACTTGTCTATGCCATATATATATATATATATATATATGCGTATGTCTGCCTGCCTGTCTGTATGCACGTGTGTACAAATGTACTCATGGATTGCAGTATGCATGCATACATGCATGCGCGTATGGATGTATGTATGTGTGAACTTATGTATGAGTGTATGTATGCATGTGTGACAATATGGATGTGTGTCTGTACGCATGCATGTGTGTACGTGTGTACGCACGTAGACACGTACCTGTGTATGTGTGCCTGCCTGAGTGTATGTATGTATTTGTGTATACTCATGTACGGATGCGTGTGCACGTACATATGTATGTATGTAGGGATATGTCTGTGTGTATGCATGTATGTGTGTACGGTTGTATGCATGCATGGGTGCTCTAGATATGGATGTCAAGCTGTATGTGTGTACATATGTCTATGTATGTAAGTGTGTAGATAAACAAGCGTGTGTGCATGTGTGTGTGCTTGTGGAGGCATGTCTGTAGGGTTGTACGTATGTATGTATGTACGTATGTATGTGCGTATGTATGCATTTGTGTGTGTCTGTGGGGCAACAGGCAACCGGGGGCGGGGAACCCGAGGAACCCGGGCAACCCGAGGAACCTCCGAGAAACGGGTAATGGATCTCGAGAGGCCCAGGGAACCCGAGGAACCTCCGCGGAACGGGCACAGTAAGAATACCAGGCACCGGCCTTTCAAAAACAAAAACAAAAAAATCTTATAGGCAAACCTAATTGGGGAACATAACTGACCCCGGCCCTCTGCGAAAGGCGCGCACTGCCCAGATCGCAGCTTTCCTGGCCTGCACAAACGTAACACATGGGGATGGGCTCGTTGCTGGCCGGCTTGAACCATGGTGACCCGCCCTGGCGTATCAAGAAGGCTGTGCCGGCCATCTCACATACACCCCAGGGCAGGCAAACCGTCAGCGCGAACGCCAGATTGATGGACCTCCTCTGCGCCCAGACCATCCCGATGCTGGCCAAGTCCCAAAAGACGAGAACGGCGGCCGCGTCCTTCACCGAACCAGAGGTCAGGCCCAAGTCACCGGCCAACGACCAACACAGCGTGAACATCATCGCCCCCCCCGTGGCGGCCACGACCCGGCATACGCCGCCGAACACGGACAGCGCGAACACGATTCCTGGATCGAGCGCTGCCGTCGGCAACATGCCTTGAGCATCCTGGGGCTGTGCGGGGGCACAGCTGCATCATCTTCTCGGGTCGTAGGGCAGCTCGCCCGACCCGGCTCACCCTGCGCCGAAACGTCTGCGGAAGTCCGTGCGTAAAGTCCTGTGCGAGGTCGATTACTTTGCCATACTCCCTGGACGTGGGAGGCCCCGAAGGGGGGAATCCGATGCCCCCTGCGGCACTGCATGGACCTAGGCTCTCTGAAAGATTGTGGGACTGCCGCCGTGCGCACGGCGGGGGGGGGCGTTACGTTATGGGGGGGGGGCGGGGGCTACAATGCCCATTATGCCGCAAGCAATAAAAACACGCTCCTGGAATCGTGAAAATCCCGTGCGCATGCTCTGTGGACCTGGGAGCCCTGCCAAAGTGAGAAGTAAGGGCCGCTACACTTTCTCAGACGATGTGGCATAAAAGCCCCAGATAGCCCAAGATGGCCTCCAATAGAGCAAAAGAGAGCCCAAGCTGGTTCAATATGGCTTACACCGTGCCTCCAAGGAACCCCGAGGCCGCCTCAATACGGTTTCAAGGGGCCACGGAGCCTCCCGAGGGCCCCCCCGAGAGGCCCAACTCCTTCCAAAACCGCAGGGGCGCGATGTGTTTTGTCTTCCCGCCTTTTCGCTGCCTATAGGCTCTTGAGGCCTCAAGATGGCTCCAAGTTGGTCGAAGATGGGCCCAAGAGCGCCCAACATCAGCACAAGACAGCCTTGCGATATTGTATGGGGAAAAATCAAAACTAATCGTGGCCAAACCCCCTGGACAACCCCGACAACCTCTCCAAGATGGAGACCACAAGTACCCTAGCATGAAAATGTGGCCAACGCTCGAGCAAGAGTATCGTTCCCTGTCAGGCAAGTGGCCAGCGCAGTGGCGAGAACACCATTCCCAATCAGGGATGTGGCCAACGCTCTGGCGAAAGCACCATTCCCGATCAGGGAGATGGCCGATGCTGAGGCGACAGCACCCTTCGCTTTCCCCCTCACTCCGTACGAATCCTGCGATTGCTCATCATTGGGTTAGGGCATTTGAGGGCCCAGAGTTGCGAGAATGTCTCAAACGAGACCTCTGAAAACAATCATATGCGCGGCATCACCGAAGCCAACGTTTCGAGGATGTCTCAGGCGAAGCTGGCCTCACCACCTCGTCGGCGGCATCTCTGAGACCAGACTTGAGAGGATGCCCCAGGAAAATAAACCTCATGTCCAGGCATGTCTGAGCCCAAACTTGCAGGGAATACCTCAGGCAAAACTGGCCGGACAACCTCGTGAGCGGCATCTCTGACCCAGAGTTGCGATGATGTGTCAGGCGCGACTGGATGGCTCACCTCAGGTCAGGGCATAGATGAGCCTAGAAATGCGAGCATGTCTCAGACGAGACCGGCTGGATCACCTCAGCTCAGGGTACTACTGGCTGGAACACCTCGTGCGAAGCATCTCTGAGACAGAGTAGCGAGCATCTCTTCTGAGCCAGCTCCCCAGCACCCCCCTCTGGCACCTAAGTGGGTTCAGGGCGCGCGGCACGAGACCCGAAGGGTTCGGTTCAGCGCGCGCGGCACGAGACCCGAAGGGTTCAGCGCTCGCGGCACGAGCCCCGAAGGTTTCAGCGCCCGCGGCACGAGCTCCCGGGGGTATCCCATCCCCCTCCCCTCCCCTCCGTCCGCCCACGGGTTAGGAGGCAACTAATGGGAGTAGACGATTAAAAAAATCCCCCCCCCCTCCCCCCCCCGCGGGGTCCCTGATTCTTTTGTGGGGGGTGGACGAATAAAAATCGGGCATCGGAAACTATTTTTTAATCGTCCTCCCGCCCGCCCCCCCCCCCGCCCCCCCGCCCCGCAACGCCCCTGGGCTCGCGCCGTGACGGCGTGCCGAAAACTAGCGTTTAAATCGCCTTCCCCCTCCCGTCCCGCCGCATTTTTTCAGGCGTCGCTGTGGGGCAGCCACACGCGGCGCAGTTTCGAGGATTCCTTCGGGTCCTTGTAGATATTTTATTACGAGGAGGGCCTGCAGTATTATCTTCATCGTGGTTCGACTTATTTTCTCCACCTCGCTGCGCGGCGTCTAGATGATACGACTTTGGGGCAGTTTCGTATCAGCCTTCCCCTCTCCCCTCGTCTTCTCCCCCGTTCCCTCTTCTCCTCTTCCTCCTGCTCTCGCCGGTGCTTTTGCACCCCTGGGATGACTGGATCATTTATTCCCAAAGCTTTCTTCGCCGTTGCTACGCAGGGAGGAGGGAGGAGGAGAGGAGGTGGAGAAGGAAAAGGAGAGAAGGAGACGCGGTGTCTCAAGGAAAACGAGGCCCAACTACGCAGGTGGGTTGGGGGAGAAAAAAAAACGTGGGAGGGTATATTGGGATTGGGGAAATCGGGAGGCAGGGTGGTCAGCCCTCGGCTTTCAGCCTTCCCCATGCCGCTCGAATTGTCGCCCCTCCGTGGGCCGAGCCCCCTCTCCCCCTATTGTGGGGGCACCCAGGCCGGCGAAACTATTTTTTAATCGTCCGGCCCCGAATCTTTTTTCATCGTGTACTCCATTACTGGGAGGCTTTCGTCGGAATGATTAAGGAAGATTAAGCCTCGTTGGGGGGCTGTGACGCCGGAGTGGGCCTCGGACTAAGCAAGATTAAGCGGGATTGAAGAAAATTTCTGACCAGGGCAAAAACAGAACTTGACCTCCGAGGAGTTGCATCCGAACACGGGCAACCTTGTGCGCGGCATCTCCGAACCCAGAAATGCATGCATGCCGCCGGCGAACGAAACCCCGGCCGGATGACCTCCGAACGGTGACGACGCCTCCGTGCGCCGGCCCCGCGGGTGGCACCCGCTCCTGCCACGGCAGAGCCTCCGCCCGCACAGCTGTGAGGGAAGCGGCGATCCAGGGGAGGTGCGCGGGCGGGAGCGGCAGCAGGAGGCGAAGAGGGGAGGCACGGGCTGGAGGGGAAGGGGTCAAAAAGGCACGCGCCGCCTGCGCTGCGCCTCGCGCTTGTTGGGGGGCCTTTCGACAAACTGACCCTGCGCGCTGCGCAGACAGACGGGACGAGCCTGCCGGACAACCCCCTGGGCATCCCCGCAGGGATCCGGCGCCCCCCCCCACCCCCCCCGGGAAAAACCCTCCTGGGCAGCCCTGCCGTGAGTTTCTGCCGCAGAAGACAGCAGTAGGCATATGCGTCGGCCTCCGAGGGGGGGCAGGGCATGATCGAGATCACACCCCACATGGCCCAAGAGCGCCCCCGGAGCCCCCGACGGTGCCCGAGAGAGCCCCAGGGGAGCCAACATGTTCCCATATCGCAGGATCCGCGGAGGCATTTTGAAACCTGCTCAGGCGGTCTTCGGTTTGACGGCTGCTCCACCTTTTGTTCCACTGCGTGCTCGGAAACGTCCCTCATCAGTACAACTCGCCCGGGCCTCGTTGCTGGATGCTGGATGGACTGGTCGGGGTACGCGGAGCGTCAAACATTATGAGGCCCGCCTCACTTTCTGACCTCGGAGACCCAAATCATTGAACCGAACAGTTTCTTGTAAGCATTCGCGTGGTGATAAACAAATGTTTAGCATGTTTACTCATGTGTTTCTACATCGTTCCTGGACGTACGCACAGAATCAACGCAACAGAACCTAATACAACAAACGCAGGCGAAAACATCGGAACATTAACATTGCGCCGCCGAGCAGAAATATTGGGCCAAGCAGGGGAAGCCGTAACAGAAATTGCCCCTGGTGTTACTAAGCTGACTGTGCGCCCACCAACTGTGACGCCGCCCTACCAACACCACTCTGCAGTCCTCGTCGAGTGGCAAGAATCCGCGAGGAAAGCACTGTCGTCTAATGAGGAGAGGGTGCGACAGACATGATGCACGCGAAGACGGTCCCACCAAGCCTCGCAGGAGCACGACATCGGGCACTGCGTTGCCATCAATCGCGATCCCCAAGCAAACTACACTGAAACGCCTCGTCTCGCTGGCCAGACATGTCGTCGGAAGAGAAGAAGTCGGTATCACGCTGCCGTGTTCAAATTGAACGCGCTGTCACGCCGGCAGGCGGAGCACGTGCGGTCACGCGGGAGAGGGGGAAACACTTTCGGGCACGCCGTCTTGAAACTGAAGCGCCTACTTCGTGAACGCTGTCTGCATGTAGTGCGCGATCGAATCACACATGCCAGTGAACAGGTCACGAAGTAGGAGAGAAGCGCACCTGCAGTACCGTACCAGCTTTCTGGTAGCATTCCCGAACGATACCAGCATGACTATCTAGACTTGGCGGAACACATACGGATCCTCGGGCAACTTGTGCACCTCAAGGTCAGAACTTCAACCAACTTGAAGAAAACAACAGCCCGCTGAAAGGTGAAAGGCGCACGCCAGTCTAACAAGGATGTTGCATATCCACGCGGAGAAGAAACACACACAATGCGGGGGTCGCGGCAGCGCATTGGCCGTGACCAAAGGGACCAACAGGAAATGGCAGGAAGACCAAGCTCTCCGAATTGGGCGGCGATGGATGGGGGGGCGATACGCGGGGGGGCAGTGGGGGCTGCCAAAGAAGGGCCCGGAAGGGCCCTTTCTCGGGCCGTGAAGGGCCCTGAAAGGGCCCCTTCAGGGCCCCCCTGAAGGGCCGAAAAAGGGCCCTGAAGGGCACCCCTCCCCCCCCCCCCCCCCTATCGCCTCCCATCAATTCGCGCCCAGCCCGCAGCACCTTCCCCCCCCCCTATCGCCTCCCATCCAGTCGCGCCCAGCTCGCCCTGGACCACGCCTTCTGGACTTCTCGGCCCCGCCGCTCGATGCCGAGGCTCTCGCGCCGGGTCGATGCGCGGGGGCCCCGCGCCCCGAGAGAGAGCAGGCACGCCCGGCGCACGAGGACGTCAGTGGCACCAAAATGCACGCCTCGGACGCCTGCTAGGCTCAAGTCGGGCCTGTCCCCCTCCAGGAGGATTTTGGACCTTGAATAAAAAAATGCACAGAATATCAAAGATATGCCGAAAAATACAAAAAATAGTCCCCTGACTATTTTTTATACTATTTTTGAATATTCCCCCCTGTAGAGGGACAGGCCCGACTTAATGCTAGGCTCATGGAGGCCCCCTGGATGGGGTCCGAGTAAACGGGGTCGGAGGATCGCGCAGCATCGCCGACGCATCACCGCTGCATCGACGATGCATCTGCGCGGAGAGCATCAAGGTCCACATGGAACTGCATCGCCGATGCATCGGCGGTGCGGAGCGAGCCACTGACCCCATCTACTCCGACCCCATCTCGGAGGCCGAGCAGAGATACGCAGTGGTCCTGGGCCCGGGGCTGGCCTGGTTTCGGCGGCGACGATAAGGGCGAAGAGCCCAGGGCGGGCATTACACGCATTCGCCCCGGAGCCTTGTCGAAGACATCGGCGCCCCTGGATATACGCATTGCTCTCCCCTGGGCTATCCGCCCCTGTCGTCGCCTCTGATGCTTCGGCTACACGCAGGAGGTGACCCTGGGCAAGAAAATTGCCGCTGGTGCGCGGCTTCCCGGGGCCGCGGGGAGGCCGAGCCAGAGCGCGCAAGCTGCTGCTGTTGCATCGCTTTCGGCCCTCTGAGGGCACCCCGCAAACGCAAGGCACTCCATGCCTCGGGGAGCTGCTGACCCGGGTCAAACCAGACCCGGGTCAGCAGGAACCGAAAGCCTGCAATGCAAGAACAAAAAACTGCAACGCAGGTCTTCGCAAACCCAGGTCAGACAATATGCGCGGCCGCCTCGCGGCCACGAGCGGCTCGCTAACCCGGGACAGCCAGAGGGGGTCTTCGCAGGATCCTGCAGGACCCGGTGCCCTGGCTGACCTCCGTTTGCATTGACCCCCGTCGCTTGAGCCCCGAAATTCCCGCACCAGAGGTCGCTCCGGCGAAGGGTCACTCTCACGCATAACCCCGACTGGTCGGGATCGGACGGGGTGCACCCGGGCACCCGGCGTCCTGCTTCTGCCAGGGGCCCCCCCGGGGCTCGCCTCTCCGGGCTGGGTTTCTATCCCCAGTCGTTTCTTGGCGGTCCCCACGTGCCCCGGGGTCCTGGGCGCGTGCGCAAAAACACGTACCACCTTTTTTGTGCAGGCCGCCAATGGTCATGGTATCTATAGCTGGCCTCCCCCCAGGCGTCGCGATTTCCGACGACGTGCCGACGTCGGGGTCTGACAGTGCGTTTGCCCCAGGCGCCCTTCGTGCTGCCGAGACGGCGAGGGTGTCGAACACGACGCGCTGCTGAAGGACACGCGCCCTGCTGCTAAGTATGCTTGCACCAACAGACTACGCAATGATATCGTGAATGTCGGCCACGGGACCGCTGGCTGGCGGACCCTAGCAGGCCCCATTTGTCGGTTCGGATGTGACACGCTGCTGAAGGAGGAGGAGCAGGAAAAGGATGATGACGAAGAGGAGGAGCAGGCGGACGACGGGGAGGAGGAGGACAGGGAAGAGGAGCATGGAAATGACTTGCGATTTTGCTGACCAGCCTTGCGAAGCACCTTAGGCCTCTTTCTTTGCTCCAGCCAAATGAGGTACCACGCTCGGAGGGAAGAGATCCTGAAATCACACTGGCTGGGAGAACCCACAATTCTGTTGGCTGGCATACCTACCACATTCGCGACAAAACCAAACCCCGAACGCCATGTGCAGTCGCATCGTGTGCGATTGGTCGACGCGCCCCCCAGCAAAATGGAGCCGCCCCCTCACCCCTCCGGGAGGTACAGCTGCGCATGTACTGTCGATGACGATGACGATGGGATTGAAACAGGGTGAGCTCCACCAGACTACTCCGTTGGCGTGTGATGCGGGCCCCTGGCATTTGAAGCATCGATGGTCGTCGCTCAGACTGTGAGAGGACCCAGAAGATTTGAGAACAGGAAGGGCAGGAGGCAGAACAAGAAAGAGGAGGAGGAGGAGGAGGATGAGGAGGAAGGCCCCTGCTCCTCACGCCGCCGCTCCCATCCCGCTCCTCGGCCTCCAACGCGTCCGCTCTGGCGCGCAGGAGACGGTGCCGCACCAGGGGAGCCTGCACGCGACGCCACTGCGTTGCGGGCGCAGTCCACGCGGCGCACCTGCGTTGCGCAATCCATGGCGGCGAGGAGGCGGCAACGGCGGCAACGCGGCCACCAGGCCGACAAACAGGCCCAGACGACCGTCGGCGAAGAGGCAACGACGGCGCGGCGACGGTAGCAACGTTGCCGCAGACCGACAGACAGGCCCAGACGACTGGCGGCGACGAGGCGGCGACGGCGGCAACGCGGCCGCCAGAACGACGCGCAGGCCCAGGCGACAGGCGGCGACGAGAGAAGGACAAATAAGAAACCCAAATGCAAGCACTGCGCGGGGGATGCCAGCTGGAAATCCGAGGCGCAATGCTAAAGGCATGGATGGGGAACAACCCATCGCATCGTGAAGTACCCTAACTATTCAAAACTCCACGGCCCGAAAACATAACAACAAAACAAACATTGATCCTTCGCGCGCCCGCGTAAAGGCTTCGCGACTATCAGCATTGCCAGAGGTTGCCGCGAAGATCGGACTCGGAGGCCCACGTCTTAATCAGTGCTTCGCAGGCTCGGCTCCCAACTCCTGCCGACTTGGCGAGCGGCCCTGTGCGGCGGCACCCTGACACACTTCCATTGGGGCCATTCTACCAATCCTGAAGCGAGGCGGGGCCGGCCACGCTGGCGTCCCGTCGAAGACACTGTGCTGTTGAGGAAGCTCCAGAAGCGCCGCGTCTGGCCGACGCTCGATGCCAGCCGGGGATAGAACGTCCACGCCAGTCCCAACGCGGGGGCGCGGCTTGTCGATCCCCGGGACCGCGAGAGGTTCTCGCGACGCGAACATCGCCCAACAATTCAAGCTTCCGGAGATCAGAGATCCCAAGACGGCCGGGCTGTGGAATCGACGCTGCGCCAAAGATGAACCAGAACCTGCTTGCCCGCAGCGGCCTCGTCAGCTGCCAGAGCGCCCTATCTCATCGATCTGCGCAAGGTCCCTGACTTAGCTGGCGAGCCCATGCAGTCGTGAAGCTCGGCGATAGACTCGCGCCGAGCACGGCGCCTGCACCGGCCTGCGAATCTTTTCGCAGACTGGACAAGAGGCAGAACTCAAATTGATCATCATTTGCTGCTGGGGAGAATGTTCTTCCGCGTGCCCCCATCTGGATCTGGCCCTTCCCGGGGCCTCGATGAGCTAAGCAGCTAAGCCAGGGGCTCTGTCTAAGGGGTGCCGACAAGCGATGCCTAACTACGATTGGTGGATGTAGCAATTCTGCCATGCGCCGCGGTTGCGGAGTCCGCTGCCGCGCGGGCCCTCTCCGACCCAGAAGCGGCGGCGCCCCTTGTGCGGCACTGGCCCCCCTTGTTTGGATCGCGCCGCTCGACCGCGGCGACGCGAGATCCACGAGATCCAGTGGGGGGGGCGACCGATTCCACGACGCGCGCGCGCCGTACTCTCCAGCGCAGCCACCCACGATGTGCGTTGAGCCGAAGCGGGGCCCACGGACGCAGATGAAAGCCTAGCGCCCACGGACGACGCAACTGGGGGCGGGGAGGGGGGCCCGCATTCGTGAACACAGCCCGCTGCAGCTCCCTCGACCGGATCCACAGCTCGCCGGAGATTTGCAAGCTGCCCTCGCTGTGCTCCAAGCACGTTTTGTTTGCGGCGGCTCCTGAAACTCGGTCGGCTCGGGCGGTCGGCTCGCCGGGGGCGAGCGGCGCGCGCGCGTCCACCGAGGGGGGGCCAGGCCCCCTTCAAGGCGCGGGTCACACTGCGGTTGCCCGAGGTGAGGACTGGGGCGTCGGGACTCCAGACAGACGGCGTTGCACGTGGTTCGAAACCTGCCCAGCCAGCACCATCGTTGGCAACGGGCGCAGAATGACGGGGGCCTGCTCCAAACCGCCCATCCCCATCCACTTGGGCGCGGCCGCGAGCGTTCGATGCGTCGGCGTGAGGCTCGCGCGCAACGCAAAATGCAACGCAACAGTGATAATGACTGGCGGTGGACGCAGCGAACCGCAGATCCCCGGCCGCGTCGGAGAGGCCAGAAATGGCTGACACATGAACTGCGGAATTCCCAAGGGCAAGCTCCACCAAGCTGGCCCCTGCTGCGGGCCGCGCGCCCATTTCCACGACGGCTCGGTCAAGGGCGGTCGCGCCCTCGACAGCTGTCTTGGCAGGCCCACCTTTGAGCAGGGACCGATCTTATAGGCCTACCACGAAATCTTCTTAGAACCCCACAATGTTCATAAAAAAAATATATATCCCGGCAAAGCAACCTAACAGCGATGTGTAGAAGCATATATGAAAGCATTCCCCTTTAAGATTCAGATGAGAATCCAATTGAAGAATTCTGCTGTTCTCGCAGTCGTAATCGCATTCGCGATGACAGTCGCAGCGGCAACGGCAGTCGCAGTCACAGCCTCAGCCTCAGCCTGCCTCAGCCTCAGCCTCAGCCTGCCTCAGCCTCAGCCTGCCTCAGCCTCAGCCTCAGCCTGCTTCAGCCTCAGCCTCAGTCTGCCTTCAGCCTCGGCCTCAGCCTCAGCCTGCCTCAGCCTCAGCCTGCATCAGCCTCAGCCTCAGCCTCAGCCTGCCTCAGCATCAGCCTGCCTCAGCCTCAGCCTGCCTCTGCCTCAGCCTCAGCCTGCTTCAGCCTCAGCCTCAGTCTGCCTTCAGCCTCGGCCTCAGCCTCAGCCTGCCTCAGCCTCAGCCTGCCTCGGCCGCAGCATCAGCCTGCCTCAGCATTCAAAATGTGGCCCAGGAATGGAGTTCTGGGAACTCGAAGAACACGAAGTGGCCTACAGTTGGCTCCGGGCATTCAAAATCATGCCCAGGAGTGGAGTTCTGGGAACTTGAAGAGCACGAAGTGGCCTACAGTTGGCTCCGGGCATCCAAAATGTGGCCCGGGAATGGAGTTCTGGGAAGTCGAAGAGCACGAAGTGGCCTACAGTTGGCTCCGGGCATCCAAAATGTGGCCCGGGAATGGAGTTCTGGGAAGTCGAAGAGCACGAAGTGGCCTACAGTTGGCTCCGGGCATCCAAAATGTGGCCCGGGAATGGAGTTCTGGGAGGTCGAAGAGCACGAAGTGTGTGACTGTTGGCTTAAAACGACTTCTGCGGTACCCTGTCCGGCACCCGCCCAGACCCCCCTGTGGAGTCATCTGCTGCTCTCTTTTGACACCACTAGAAACCTATCAGAACAAGCTGTTAGGTAAAAAACGATGCGCTAAAACAAGACAGCCCGAGCCAGAAATGTTCTAAGAACATTTCGTGCAGACCACAAAACGTTATTAGAACGTTCATTGGTAGGCCTATCAGCGAGCCAGGATGCTCCGCTACTGCTTGAGCCACCTCCGTCCACGACGGCGCGAGCAGAAACGGCCGAACGATCGACAGTTCCCCATCGAGCGTCTGGACAGGAGTATAGCTCGCCGGCGCAAAAACCCGCCTTCTCAAAATCACCCCATGTGGGGTCGCGAAAGTCAACCCAGGCCAGCCGCGCGCCTCGCTGGTTGCGTCGGCCGCGGAGCCTGCACTTGCTGCGTCAGGTCGGTCAGATCCTGTCTTGGTCGACAACCAGATGCCCCGACATGCGGCGTGGAACCCCAGACCCCCGACGCCATGATTTTTCCCTGACACGACTCCCAAAGGTCTGGACCCGTTCCCAGGGGCCCGTTTTTCAGCCTGCGTCGTTTTTTTGACGGCCCCGAGGCCCAGTGAGCGCCCCGGAAGCCGAAAATGAAGAAAAACCTCCCGTCGTGATTTTCTCATGACCCGAGGGGGTCTGGACTCCTCGCGGTGCCCCTCGAGTGCATGCTGGTTGTCGCCTGTCTTCGCACCCTGGGCCTGCGACTCGGAGTCACAGGCCTGAGTCGCGGCGGGGTCGGAGTCTCCGACCCTGCCGCGGGCCCCCTCTCTGGCCGGCCGACCTGCGGGGGCCGGGCCGGGAGCTCCGCGCGTCGCGCGGGCAGCTGGCGCTGGGTCGGGCGCGCCCCCCTACGGGCGGATTGTGGACGAAAAATCAAAAGGACTCCCAAAATGCATCAGAAATGCAACAACAATGTCAGAGAAATAGCCCCCCGACTGTTTTTTGCACTATTTTTGAATGTCCCCCCTGCAGAGGGACAAGCCCGACTTAGAGCTGGCATCCAGGCGATTCCAGGGCCAAGCGAAGACCGCAGTGAGTATTTTCCCTCGGGGCGCCCAATGCAGACCGCGCGCTGGCTGAACGCCGTGCTGCAGACAAGAACATCGGAATGCATAATCGATGCGGTTGCCTTCTCTACCCGGGCCACATGCGCGGTCAATCGGACATTCGACAACTGCGCCTCCTACGCGCAACATAAATCACGAGGCATCGAGAATGGTCGGTGCTGCATTGAAATCGCTGACAACATCCCATGCGATCTGAAACAATGCCAGGGACGCGCCAGACATCGAATAACGCCTCAATATATCACCTACGAGGCCCACCGAGGTGATCCCGCAGCACGGAACGATGACAATCGAATGTCCGACCACGTGCACTGCAGCAGCTGTGAAGTCATCGGCTGCCGACTGGCCGCCAAACTGACACTCTGGCTGAGACTCTGGCATCTGAAATTAGGAGGGGGGGCAAATGATTTCGGCTGCAAGCCGATGCTACGATCCAGTCGCCACCCTCGGTGGCCTTCTCCAGTCCCTGAGCAGTGCTCGCGTTCTGTGTGCTGCGCGCTGGGCCGACAATCGAAAAGACACTAGACTTTCGGGCCTTCTGAGGCAAACCTCCTAAAGCAGTGTGAGAGACGTGGGTCTCAGCAGAACAAGATATGAAAAAGCCCATGCTCATGAGCCTCACAAAAGAAGATCCAGACATTCCCCCCATGGCCGTGATGTTGCCGAACAGTTGCTGCTTATGCACACCCCCGTCGAACTTTGAGCTCCTCGATGTCGCCCTTACCTAATCAACTGGATGGTGGTGCCTGGCTGGACGGCATCTGCTGGTCCTTGTATGTTCGAGTTAGCCTCGAACTCGGCTGCTGGCAAGCTTGCCGCCTCCGCCTCGACGCGAAGCTGATGCTCGTCCTCGGCTGCCTGGCGGGTGTCGATGAAAGCTGGCTCGCTGTCGAGGTGCCGCAATCAGTTGGCTTCACCTCCGCGCCCTGGCTTGCTGCACCCGCCGCCGCAGCTCCACCGCCTTGTTCCGCGCCGTCCGGGATGCGCCTCTCCTTTGCCATCCTGTCGTAGATGACCTTCGTCATCTTCTCAGTGTTGGCCAGCCTGGCTGGGGCCTCGTCGGCCTTTCCTGAGAGGGTGGGCTGGGCAATCTGAAGTTCCTCTGGATGTTGCGTAGCTCCTACTTCCTGGAGGCCTCGCACTCCAGTCCCTCTAGGTTTTCATGGTTTGTCGTACCTCAGCTCGAACGGCATCTGCTTCTCATATTGTCACCGTCGTTCGCTGCGTCCGGCTGACCGACACCCTCGAAAGACATCACGACCCGAGCGCTGTTTGACAGTGGCCGCTATCGCTAGCTCCTCCGTCAAGTTTGTTTCTTCGAATCCAGATGCATCGAACTGCGTGCGAAGCCGAAGTACTGCTTGAGCTGCTCGAGTATGGCGGTTGTTGAGATGACGCCACCCACCACCAGCTTGCTGCAACGCTTGTGATAAATCATGAGGCTTCTGCGCTGTGTCATCTTCTTTCTTGAGTCTGTCGGCGTGTTGCTGCAAATTGGACGTCAGCTCAGAGCCCTTTGAATTGGCAAGGACCTGCTCGAGAAGAGAACAGACAAACGATGCATCACTGGAGCGCGCAACTGAGCCTAGAGCGCCCTCGAGTGTCCATCTTATCGATACCCTATGTGGTGCCGCATCCCGAACACTTGGACCAAGGACTCGATGCCGCCATGATGTGTTGTGACCACGGTTTTCTCGGGCCGGGCGAAAGGGGGGGATAACAAAGGGGGGGGGGGGAGAATCAGCTCACGTAGCTGATTTTCCCGGCGACTCCCGGCGCCGGAGGCGGCCATGTATCGAGGAATGGGCCCCTCGGTGAGGCCGAAACCAGCTACATGCAGCAAATTTCGTAACCCCCCATTTCCCTATCCCCCCCTTTCGTCCGGCCCGATTTTCGCTACGTCAAGAAACTGCACAACTAATTAATGTCAGAGGAAATGGGGCTCAAGGGGTCAAGTGTCCCTCAAGCACCAGTGGGAGGCACCGTGGATTTGCGCAGCTGTCCATTAATGGCTCGGGCCCAGGTGGCGCTTGAGTGGATAAGGAGGAGGAGGAGGAGGAGGAGGAGGAGACTGAGGAGGACGAGGATGATAAGGACAAAGGGGGGATGATGATGATGGTGATGATGATGATGATGATGATGATGATGATGATGATGATGATGATGATGATGATGATGATGACGAGGAGGAGGAGGAGGATGATGATGACGAGGAGGAGGAGGAGGAGGAGGAAGACAACACCACCAGCGGCAGCTTGTGTGCCCCAGCCCACACGCGATTGGCGGTGCGCGCCCTTCTGGGCACACGGGGCTCTTCAGAAGGTGGGGCCGGCCCGAGAAACGCCGCTGGAGGCGTCCAAGCCGAAGGCGGCACCCTCGGACCAGCGCCCCCTGTGCGCGCCGCGCAGCGCGATACGCTGATGAGCCGTCGGGCCGCCGCCTCACGAGTCGGTGGCCGCGGGGTCCTCTGAGCGGTCCGCGATCGCGCTGGTGCTCCTCCTCCATCCCCCCTGATCTTCCTCCTCCCTCCTTCCCCCCCGTCCCTCTCCAGAGCTCTGGCGGCCAGGCACTTCTCGCCGTGTCCTGCCCTTACCAGCCTGGAACATATCCCTATCCCTATGCTGGGCACCTCCTCATCACGATGCCAATCTTAGGGATTCCCTTATTTTTTAAGGCGAATCCCCAAGATTGTCATCGCATTTTGGCGTGTCAATCTTAGGGATAGGGATACGTTCGAGGCTGGTAATGCCCCCTTCTGGGCCCCGGGACCGCCGGCAACAGCTGGGGATGAGCTAGTCACTGGCCCTCGAGGCTGAGGCTCGAGAGCCCTGGGGCCTGGCGACTCGAAACAGATCGAGTCGGAGGAGGCGTACCGTCGGGGCGTTGACCTAAGGAACCCTAAATAAGGAACGAGGCCCCTTTTTTCATAAGTTGACCTTCGACTTCCCATCGAAAGCTTAAGGAAGACCTTGGGCAGGGTGCGGAACAATTAAGGAGCACCGAGCCCCTCCCCAACGAAAAGGGTTCCTTCTTCAGCGCCCCGACTGTATGCCTAGGCACCTGCTCCCTGCCTCCCACCGCGCTTCCTCCTCACAAGGCTCCCTGGCGGCTGTCAGTCTCCTGCCGCGATCGCCTTTAGCTCAAGCGCCGGGGCCAACCTCATCAGGCTGGACATCGATGCAGCTCGAGACAGGCTCCTCGTCACCGTCTCCCTGCAGGGCCCGGCCGCGGATTCTCCCTCGGCGTAGCCCCTTGCAGTCGGGAGGGAATAAAGCCAGACCCCCGACGACTTGAGTTCTATCACAACGGCGACCTCCAGAGGTATCGACCCGTTCCTCTCGGGGACCGGCTGTCCATCCTGGGTCGCTTTTTCTGACGGTCCCGAGGCTGCCGGCGAGGGCCCCCCTTAGGCCGACGATAGCGTTAGGTCGGGCCTATCCCCCTACAGGGGGATTTTCGATGACAAATTAAGAATACACCCAAATAGTTACAAATAGTAAAAAAAATCGTCCCCTGACTATTCTTTGACTGTTCTTACATATCCCTTCTGTAGAGGCACAGGCCCGACTTGACAGTAGCGCACCCCCGTCGTGACTCTGCCACGGCCCGAGGGGGGGCCCGGAGGCCGGGCAGCGGGTCGGCCCGCCGTGCCGGCGCACTTTTGGCGGCTGGGCGCGCGGCGACGCGCAGCGGGCAGGCGCCCGTGCACAACAAAAAAACGAGCAAAACAACACCCACAAAAAACAAACAAAAAACAATCAAAAACACAAAGAATAAGACATCCACAAAAACACACCCAACAAAACAAACAAACAACAAAAAAACAGGCACCCACAAAAAACAAACAAACAAAAAAACACCCGACTGGGGAGGCAGCCCTCTGCGTACCGCCATCCATCACGTTCCCGAGGACGCATTCAGAAGGGAAGGCACCACCTCCACCTGGGGGTGTGGAGGCAGAGAGTCGTCAGGGGTGGTGGTGGCGTGCATCGTTTTGGATGCTCCCGCGGGATATTGCGCACACCCGCCTTCCGCATACCGGCTCATCCTGAATCCTCAGAGGTGGTGGTGGTGGTGGTGGTGGTGGTGGTGGTGGTGGTGGTGGTGGTGGTGGTGGTGTTGGTGGTGTTGGTGGTGTTGGTGGTGGTAGTGCGCTTCCTGCTCCTATAGACGGGCGTCCATTTCTGCTTTGCGTCCTATGCGATGGCACGCTCGACTGGAAAGACGCACGCTGGCATCGTACTTAAGGGCCACATCCCAGAAATAATTTCGAGCACGCAGAGAAGAATCGAAACAGTGTCGCGGGAATATCGCCTCCCGGAGCCCGACATGTGAAAACCCTCCAGTCTCGGTGCTGTCTCGGTACTCGGAATTCATTCTAGCGATTCAGGCCTGAAGCAGGCTGGAACATCACAACGCTGGGGGCCGCCAACAACGCCAACGGGGCGCGCCCCGAGAAGGCCGCGCAGGAAAGCGGGAGCGCCGGCCCGGCGAGGGCCGGGCGGGCGGGCCCCACGGAGGCCGCGGCAGCGCGGCCCGAGCCGGGGGGCACCAGCCCGACACGAAGCGACACCGAGCCGACAGCTGGGCCAGGCTGGAGGCGAGACCGCTCCTCCTCCTCCTCCTCCTCCTCCTCCTCCTCCTCCTCCTCCTCCTCCTGATCATCATCATCATCATCATCATCATCATCATCATCATCATCATCATCATCATCATCATCATCATCAGCAGCAGCATCATCATCAGCATCCTCATCCTCATCCTCATCCTCATCCTCCTCCTCCTCCTCTTCTTTCCCAAATCACCCAAAGCACCTTCATGGCCCCAACAAAAATCACGGGCCCTTATGCCCCTCCAGAGCCCGCTATCTTTCACACAACAAATAACAGACTCCCTCCTCTTCCTCCTCCTTCTCGTTCACTACCCCATTTGCACTCGTTAAAAACAATTCCTTCTCGCAACAAAAACATAATCGTGCGTCGGAAAACACGGGCCACACGCCCGAGCATTCCTCAAACACTACGTCCACGAATATGTAACATCCAATTGCACGAATGGAAAGCGGGTCGTCTTGAACAGGACACTGCGTTTGAATGAAACTTCCGCGCTTTTTTCATGCATATCGCCACTGATCGCTCCCAACAGCTACACGGTGACAACGGCGAGTCTTCAAACATAGCTTCGCCTGAGACAGCCTCGCGCTTTATGCCCCCGAACCTTGCAACACACAATTGGGACGCATATAGAAGGCCAACATTTTTCAATATCTGGTCCTCGTCCAAGAACCCACCGCATGGTACTAGATGGCCGCTCTGTGGTTGACCTGGAGTTTCTGTATGTAGAAGCAGGGGCGTGTGCTTTCGAGCGAAAGGAGAATGGGCGGGAGTCGATGGCATCCAGCCCCTCCCGCTCCCATGCTGGCAACCTTCATCTTCTTCTCCATATCCTCCTGAAAAATCCTTTGAGGTCCCTGGAAGTCGTTCCTCCTCCGCGTCCTCCTGTTCCTCCTCCTGCTCCTCCTCCTCTTCCTCCTCCTCCTCCTCACCCTCTACCACCTCCTCTAACTCTCCTCCTCCTCCTCCTTTTCCTCCTCTTCCTCCTTCTCCCCTCCTCCTCCTCCTCCTCCTCCTCCTCCTCCTCCTCCTCCGCCTCCATTCCTTTTCCTTATGCGCAACTTTTCTGTACCGCACCCCGAGGCCTGTTTCTACAGCGGTCCGGGCGTTTCGCCTAAGACTTCCTCACGGATTCAGGGCGGGTAGTTTTCAAAAAGTGTCTTTCGCTTAATCGCCGCGCACTTTCGTTTTCAACATTTGCAAGAGTTTCACGGATTGAGGGCGACCCGTTTTCAAACTGTGGCTCTCGTCTCAGCGCCGCGCACATTCCTCTCACCATTTGTGCGAGCTTTACGGACTGAGAGCGGTTCCTTTTCAAAACGTGGCTCCCGCCTCAGCGCCGCGCGCATTCTATTTTTCAGTTTGCCAGGGTTTCACGGATTCCCACGAGCAGCGTACCAGAAATTGCGTGTTGGAGGGACTCGGGATTATGTGGGCGCAACAGTTACGTTGATTCGCGGTGTTGATGTCCCAGAAATGGCGTTCTGGCACGATTCAGGATCGTCAAGACGCACCTGTCAGGTTGATCCGTGGCGTTGGAATCCCGAGAACGATGTTTTAGCATGCGTCGGGATCTTCAAACGGTTGTCTTCCAACGAACAAGTTTTTTAATTGAAATGAACACTTGTGTGGGGCATATCAAGAGGGAGCTTGGAGGGATGGTTTATTCCAACATCGTCGATGACTTTTGGGTTTACACTGGTCCTCCTCCTCCTCCTCTTCCTGCACCTCCTCCAACTCTCCTGCTCATTCCCTCCTCCCCCTCCTCCTCTCTCACCTCCTCCTTTACTCACGCTAGACCAACCTGAGCGTGGAACTGTGGCGCTAGTGGTGGCGGTAGAAAAAGAAAAAGACTCGGGTCAACAATAACACCTGGCGGGCGCCATGGAAAATGAAAACGCGAGCGCTGGGCGAGTCGATTGGTGAGAGTAGGCGCCCGCTAGGTGTGGCGATACACACCTTAGTGGAATAACGACGGTGTTCACAAAAAAGAACCAAACAACCAAGAGATAAAGAATACCTCGCATGCCGGGTGTCACCTCGGTAAGTTAAGGTAGGCCTGCAAGACGCAGTTTTAGGGTTGCAGCCGAGGGTTTAAGGTTGACCCCAAACCTGGTGTAGCCTTCCTCCCCAGTTCCCACGCCCAAACTAATATCCCCCCCGACCGCTCCATATGTAGGCTGGTGGCAGTCTGACGCTTACAATGCCAGGCAGGGTGTGCTGCTGTAGTTGGCAGTCGCGTTGACGTTTTTTCCTCGTAAGCAACTTGCTCGCGAGCCCCCAAACGTATAAGAAATGCCAGACAGAAGTACCAATGCTGAAAAATGCCAAAGGGCTGATGCGGCAAACTGTGATGAAACCGTGTGCCGGCGGAGCTGACAAAGTATGGCGTACGCATGGCGTGTTAAAAGTGTGCCTCGCATTATGATACCCGCTGCAGAACGAGCGTGGTAGAGCGCGAGCCAACATTGCGACGTCAGAATAAAGAAGATGCGCAGAGTAAGCCTGACGATGCAGGCTTGAAAGATAAAAACCGAATGCTTGGAATGCTGCCCTTGCTGAATCCTCGTCCTCCACCGAAACCACACTGAGCATCCTCCCCGACCTTTCCACGTGCAGGCTGGCGCATTATTCTGAAACGTACCAGACCTAGTATCAATGCTGAACGTTGCCAAGAGCTGATGTGGCGAATTGTGCTGCAAAAGAGTGTCGCTGGAGCTGAATCATATGACGCACGCTTGACTTCTAAAAGGTGCACCTTCCATTATTAAGATCCTTAGCGGAAAGAGTGTGCTAGAGCGTAAGGCAGCAACTTGCGACGCCATCTTTTAATACATACTTCTGGAACATGCGCTGGGTAAGCCTGAGGATATAGGCTTGTAAGATCAATGGCAGTTCTTGGGATGCTGCCCTTGCTGTATCCTCCCCCGCCGCCACCTAATAGCATGGAATGTACACCACTTCCTCCAGAAATACAGCTGCTGATGTTAGTGTGCTGCCGAGATTGGCAGGCATGAAACCAGAGAGAGAGAGAGAGAGAGACACACACAACAAAAGGTGTGTGTGGCAGCTCTCGCGTTGCAGCCCAAGGGTTTTTGTTGGCTTTACTCCGAACCACTTCAGTACCACGACCCCCGTATATGTTGTCATATCTTTTCGGGTTTAGCACGAACCATTGTTGTCCAAGATGCCTGTCCATGCAATCTTGAGACTGTCGCGAAAGCTGGCCTGTGCAGGCTGGCCTGTGTAGCGAAATATAGGCCATAAAAATAAAGTCCGAACAACAAAATGAGGGGTAGAGGTGAAGAGGTGGCCGGGTACGCTGGTCTAGGCGCCTACAGTGTGTGTCTGGCCTGCTTGGTACCAACGCCAACATGGCAATGACACGTCTTTGCTGGTACGCATGGCATCAGTGGAGGGTGCCTGCTCGTAGTAGCAGGGGAATGGAGGTCAGAGGCGGGAGTAAGAACAGCAGAACGGGGACTGACCCTGTGGGGGCCCAAGTGCGCACATGTGTGCTGTGAAAGAGGGTAGCCTGTTTCAGGGTCCACCAAAAGTGCATAGCAATACTGCGGCTGCGACCAAGGGCTTTAAAGGGTGCACCCCAAACCTACAAAGAAAAGAACACATCCTCGGGCTGCGACCCGGGGTTTTGTGGGAGTACCCCGAACCTGCATTAGGGAGAGGCGCCACCAGCGTGTCTGAACCGCGACGAGAGAAGAGGGTAGGGCGCATCAGTGGAATAATGAAAACCTGGTAGGACACCGATCTGTGAGCGCGAGTGATCTCTGTCTCTGCGAGGCTCAATTGTAGTAACTCTGCGGTAGTCGAAGAGGAACGAGTTCTGGAGGTGAATGTCGCGGTGGTTTAAGGCTCAAGTGCACTCTGTCTGCGGTAATAGGAGTGGTAGGAGTACTGGCGGTGGATGTAGCGATGGTCTGCTATGTTTGGTTAGTTCGTGGTTTGATCTGTGTCGGTACGGCTCGTCGGCTTGGGTTTGGGTGGGAGCTTGCGTAGCTGTACTATCTGTTTGGGAGGGGGCTTTTTGAATGGAGCAACGCGTGGGTGATCGCGGAGGCTGTTGATGTAGAGCTCGTAGCGTGTCTGGTGCGAGCGAAGCCTGTCGATGTAGTTCTGGAATGTCGGATCGCTTGTGTTGTTGATGAAGATGATGCGTCGGTTGAACATGATAATGTGCTGGCCGCCTCTTCTCGCTGCAGCGTTGTATGTGGCGATTGCTTGCGCAACAGGGGTAGGGAAGTATGTGTGAAACGCCGCGAATGCTTGTGGAGACGTCAACATGATGGGTGGCTCTCTTATCCATTGCGGCGTTCTGATGCCTTCGTCTAGTGGGCAGATGATAAGTATTTGTAGCAAAGGTGGTGGTAGGTGAGCTGGTGTGGTGAGTCTGGAGGGGAATCACTTGTTATTGACTTTGTCATGTGTAACGCAGATTGCAGCTGTAGTCGATGCGGCGTTGTCGTTGGGTGTGGCCTTTGGTTGTTGTGTGGGCTGGTTGGCACCTGTTGTGAGGTGTGCGGGTGGCGGCTTGCCAAAACGCGTGCCAGGGGTCGTAGTCCGTGTGGTAGGTGGGGTGTTCCTGCTTAGTAAATATGTGGGCGTCGGCTTGCTGGGAATATTGCCGTGTTGTGTCTGTGTGAGGTTGTGCGGAGTGTTGTGTGATAAGATGGGCCGTGGATTGCACTTTTCACCTGTCGTGCTGGTGAGAGTGGTCGAGTGTGTCGGCGTTGGTGATGTCGGCGTCGCGGCAGCTTGATGTTGTGCTGTCGTAAGGGGGCGGCTGTCGTGTTGCCGGGGTGGAGTGCTTACGATTGGTATGAGCAACTGGTTGGGCAGTGGGGGTGGCTTCTTGGCTGTCAGTTGTTTGGTCGTGGTTGGTTTTCTATCATTTTTGTCAGTTTCCTCCTCTTGCTCCTCCTCCTCCTCCTCCCTCCCATCTCCTCTCCTCCTCCGACCTCCTAATCATCACGTTTCCTCCCTGCTCATCCTCAGCACCGTCCTCGGGAGCCCCCCCTCTCGGGGGGCGATGGGGCGACTTTGCGACAGTGTCTCGGGCGGGAGCCCCAGCTTGGGACACGCCGGGGTCGATGTCTGCGCGGATGTCGCGAGCGAGAGCCCCGGACTGCAAGACACGCCCGGGGCGCGCCCCGGCGCCCACCGGCAGGTCCTTGCGCTGTGGGGGCGGTGGGGCCCGACTTCCTCGCGCGCCGCGGGGGTCGACTTCGGGAGGGCGTCTCGAGCGAGAGCCACGGACCCCGACACGCCCGGGGTGCGCCCTGGCGCGCGCCGGCAGATCCCCGGAAGCGGTCCCCCTGGGGGTGCTGCAGGGGCCTCATTTTCTCGCGCGCGGGGGGCCGACTTCGCGAGGATGTCTCGAGGGAGGGTCCTGGACTGGGGACACGCCCGGTGCGCCCCAGCGCGCGACTGAGGGCACTGGGGAGGCTCGGGGGGCTGGCTTTTTGAGGATGTCATGCGAGGGTGCCAGTGTGGAATTCGCCGCGGGACTTCCCAAGAAACAAAACAGGGGGTCCTCTGATGGGCGCCCTTTGGGAGGCTCGATGAGCCGGCTTTCTGAGCATGTCCCACGCGAGGGCGTCGGTTTGGAATTCTTCGCCGGATTTCCCAGATGCCCCAGAAACGGAACAAGGAGGCCTCTGATGAGGAGGTTCGGGGAATCGTTTTTGTTGGAGGATGTCCCATGCGAGGGCGCCATATTGGAATTCGTCGCAAAATCTCTTGGGAACGAGGTGCATGCGTAAGCATCGCCACGGAGGAAGTCCGCAACTCGGTCTGGATCAGAACGTACATTATAAATTAGGCCTGCTGGGGGCAATGCACTCAGGCCTCCATGCGGCCTCGAGAACTACTGAAACAATCAAGACTTACAGACACCTGCGGATAGCTATCCTTGCAAGTAGACCTCCCAGCTGACTTTGTCACTCCTGATTTTGTTCCCACGTCCTGGGGGACCGAGCTGGAGGACGCTTCGTCACCGTCCTCATCTTCACCTGGGTAGAGACTACGCTCGAGCTGCATCGCCTTCGCGCAGACCTGGCCACCGCCTCCTCATCCTACTTCCCCTCCATCTCCTCCTCCTTCCACCGGCTCCCCGAGGAAAATATGGGGGGGAGAGAGAATACACGAGATCAAGCGGGGGAAAGGGGGGACAATTCGAGGGTTCGGCGGGTTCCTCCTCCTCCTCCTCCTCCTCCTCCTCCTCCGCCTCCCCTCCTCCTCCTCCTCCTCCTCCTCCTCCTCCTCCTCCTCCTCTTCGTCTTCCTCCTCCTCCTCCTCCTCCTCCTCCTCCTCCTCCTCCTCATCGCTCCCTTCCGTCCAAAGCGCAGGCACGAGCGGATGGGCCGAGAATCCACAGCCAGCAGTGTGGAAACCCCATGCCACATTCTGCTGTATGTGGGAGCCCGTGCGTGCCCTGACTTCGGCCGCGATCTCTTTTACCACGGATTTCGACCAACATAGTTCCCAGAACTTCGCATGCCCACTGTGTACGCTGGGCATGCACGTATCAACAGTGGGCGCTGCACAAACGTGAAGACGGAGACCATGCGTCATGAGCGAGGGGACCCCTGAGGTGAACGTTTTCATATTCGGCGCTTCAGCATCGGACGGAAGGGGGGGTGGGGCTGGCTCCGGACCTCTGCTTGATGCGACTGTTTGCAACAGTGCGTCCTGTGGGGGGGAGGCTCCACCTGCTCCAACCAGGCGCCAAGACATGGCCGATATCTACTCCACGGGGGGAAAAAGGGAAGGGGGGGAGGGCCCGCGCCGAGCGGCAAACAAATGAAGCAGAAAACGGTCACGAATGCGCAGCTGGGAACCTTTCCGTCCTGCTCCCTCTTCCCGCTTTAGGAAACCGAACTCTTTACACCGACGCGTGTTCCAGGCCTGCTCTGAAACTTGCAAACATAAAGCGGATCCTGGTGTATACGGGATCCTGGTGTATACATGTTTCGCTGTTTCCCCAAGAGGAAAAGGAAACAAGTATACACCACACCACCCCGACGTCGTCCCCGACCCTCAAAACATCCTGGGATTGAAATACAGCCCGCCACTGGTAGTGTATAGCTTCCAATATCCGACCCTTTGCCGCCGCTGCTGCCGCTCTTTGCTGCACCCGTCGCCCCCCCCTCCCCCCCCAAGCCCGCTCCGACGCCCGCCCCCCCGGGAAGCCGACAGCCCCAGGGAGGCCAGGAGGAGGAGGAGGAGGAGGAGGAAGAGGAGGAGAAGGGGGAGGAGGAGGAGGAAAAGGGGGAGGAGGAGGAGGAGGAGGGAGAGGAGGAGGAGGGAGGAGGAGGGAGGAGGAGGAGGAGGAGGCGGGGGAGGGGAGGAGGAAGAGGAGGAGGAGGAGGAAGAGAGAGGAGAAGGAGAGAAGGAGGAGGGGGAGGGGAGGAGGGAGGGGGAGGGGGAGGGGGGGGGAGGAGGGAGGCCGCCCCCCGAGCGGTGGCCGAGGCCTGGGCACGCCGCAGAGGCGGCGTGCCGCCGCCCGGGACAGGCCCACCGAGCCCCGGGGGAGCCAGGGAGGGCCTCTGCATGGATGGCCGGGGGGGGCTTCTAAGCGGATGCAGTCAACCAGGGGGTTCTAAGGGTGCCCTTGGGAAGGTTGCCTATCCTTACTGTGCGGGTTGATTCTAGGGGGTTACATAGTGGAGGCCCAAGTGGGTTATATCTGGCCAGCCTGGCTTTTAAGTGGGTTCCAGGTGCCCCGAGTGGCTTAGGGGGGGTAGCGATCTGGGCTGAGCGGGTTCCGCCCACTTAGCGGAATCCGCCGAACCTGTCGGCGTGTGTGTGTGAGGGGCTTCTCCGTTCGACTCGTCGTCTCCGTCGTCTCCGTTCTCCCCCTCCCAGGGCTCTCCTCCTCAAGCGCGCTCTCCAAAGCGACATTAAACAACGTCGTAGTGGAGTCGAAGGGAAGCCCCTTCCCTTTGATCCCTTCCCCGCAGAGGGGGGGGGGGAGGGGGGGGGGGGGGGGCCGGGGCAGATACGACGCCCGCCGGGGCGCACTTTCCTCGAGCGGGCACGCACGGGATGCACTTCCTCCTCCTCCTGGTCCTCCTCCTCCTCCTCCTTTTCCTCCTCCTCCTCCTGCTCCTCTCCTCCCTCCTCCTCCTCCTCCTCCTCCTCCTCTCCTCCTCCTCCTCCTCCTCCTCCTCCTCCTCCTCCTCCTCCTCCTCCTCCCGCAGAGGCGTCCCGGGAGCGGGCCCCGAGTCAAAATACCACCCCCCTAGGGCGCATTTTCCTCGAGCGGGCACGCCCGAGATGCACTTCTTCCTCTTCCGGGAGCACGTCCCAAGTCAGAATATCACACTCCCGGGGCGCACTTTCTTCGAGCGGGCACACAAAGGATGCACTTCCTCCTCCTCCTCCTCCTCCTCCTCCTCCTCTTCCTCCTCCTCCTCCTCCTCCTCCTCCTCCTCCTCCCTCCTCCTCCTCCTCCTCCTCCCCATCCTCCGCTTCCTCCCCCCACTCCTAGCCCTTTCGATCAGGGTCGGCGGCACCGGCCGTCAGGCCTCTCCAATACTCTTACACCCCTGAGCCACTCGGGGAATGTGTAATCCACTTATAAGCCAAGTTGGGCCTTGTATATAACCCACCTTGGTATCCACCCTATCCAACTAGAAACTCCCTCGGTCATCCCTATGCCCGTCTCCCTGTCCCCTCAGTTCCCTCGGTCCGGAGGACGATGGTTTTGCAATGGCGGTGGTGCCTTAAGCCGCCGTGTATTACGGAGGCCACCTGTGCTCAGCAACTCTTTTCATGACAGTGCGAATGCCCTGATCTGAATTCTCACTCCCTCCCCCGCCCTCCCCCGCTCCTGGTGGTCCTCTGCCGAAAAGCGTGCTCGGATGCGTGAGAGCCGTGCTGCCGGGGAAAGGAGCGGCGCAGGCAGAAGATGTTGCACCCTGGAAGGCTGCACATCGGTTCTCTGGCCCAGTGTGGTTGAATTCGTGTCTTGGGCAAGTTCCGAAATTTCTGTTGTTTTTCTTCGGTTGTTTCGCCATTGGAGTGTACGCATGTGAGCACGACTTGACGTTCATGCCACCATTCACCACCACCACCTATTCAGCCTTAGTCCATCATCTCGTTTCACTCCTCCCCCCGCTCTTCTCTTTCATGTAGCCTCCTCCGTCCTTCTCCCTCCTCCTCCTCCTCCCCCCCCTCCTCGTCCTCGCCCATCCTTTATACTCCTCCTCCCACCTCCTATCTCACTCATCCTTGGCGTCGTCGTTGTTCCCCTCCCCCTCCCCCTCCTCCTCCTCCTCCTCCTCATCATCATCATCCTCCTCCCCTCCTCGGTCACTCATCTTGCGCCGTCCTTTCTTCCTCATCTATCCTCTCTCACCCCTTCTTATCCGTCACCCTCCAATACCTCCCCATCCAACACAATGTAATCATGGCAACGTCGCGAACGTTTGACAACCAAGGCAACCATGCGGAAACTATCCGACAGCCTCTGAACAACCTGGTCTTCCTGCTCATCAAGACTTCTCCTGGCGCGGTTCCTCCGGATCACGACGACCACGCGAAGTCCAAAACATACTTATTTTGCTTCGGGCGATCCCAACCGAAACCTTCGGCGTTTGTTCCCGACGGTGTGCACGCCTACTGGAACGATGTGAGCAGGGCCTGGTGGTCTCGGCCAGCGAAGGGGCCAGCAAACGGTCACATGTTGCCGTTGTCCTCAAATCTAACAGCCCCACGTGGTCGTAGGAGGAACGCCCCTGACGAAAGACACCAAAACAAACTCTGGGGCGAAACAGAGAAACCCAAAACGCGTGCTGTAAGCGAAAACCCAAAACCTATTCGGAAAGAACCTGCAACCAGTTGAAAGAAGGAAGGGGATGTTGGTAGTAGTAGTAGTAGTAGTAGTAGTAGTAGCAGTAGTAGTAGTAGTAGTAGAAGTAGTAGTAGTAGTAGTAGTAGTAGTAGTAGTAGTAGTAGTAGTAGTAGTAGTAGTAGTAGTAGTAGTAGTAGTAGTAGTAGTAGTAGTAGTAGTAGTAGTAGTAGTAGTAGTAGTAGTAGTAGTAGTAGTAGTAGTAGTAGTAGTAGTAGTGGTAAGAGTAGTATAAAAAAGAAGTAGCAATAGTAGTAGAGGTAGTCGTAGTAGAAGTAGTAGTAGTAGTAGTAGTAGTAGTAGTAGTAGTAGTAGTAGTAGTAGTAGTAGTAGTAGTAGTAGTAGTAGTAGTAGTCGCAGTAGTAGTAGTAGTAGTAGGTAGTAGTAGTAGTAGTAGTAGTAGTAGTAGTAGTAGAGTAGTAGTAGTAGTAGTAGTAGTAGTAGTAGTAGTAGTAGTAGTAATAGTAATAGTAGTAGTAGTAGTAGTAGTAGTAGTAGTAGTAGAAGTAGTAGTAGTAGTAGTAGTAGCAGTAGTAGTAGTAGTAGTAGTAGTAGTAGTAGTAGTAGTAGTAGTACTAGTACTAGTACTAGTAGTAGTAGTCGTAGTACGAGGAGGACGAGAAGCAGGAAGAGGAGGTTTTAGAAAACTCGATTGGATTGCGCCCCAATGCTATACATATCTCTACGCTGTGTTGTGTTATAATCTGGACAGGCCAGCGTGACGTCGTGACGCTTGTCACGTTAGCTACGTCGTCCAATCGGTCATTGATGCGCCTGTTTGTTTCCTGTGTCAGACCTGACCTCGGCGAGCACGTCGCTTGATCATATTATGCCACGGTCGGTTATGCCATGCTCGTTTGGTGGAGCGCACCCTCTTGGTGGCTGGTGTGAAATATGTTGGTATGATTTGCTCACGTGTGTAGATGCTGTGGTTGCTTTCTTTTGTGTTGGACGGACCAGACTAACGTCGTGACGCCTGTGCCGGTTGATATGTAGTTTACGTTGGTCGTTGCTGCTACTGCTTGTTTCTGCGATCAGTGGGAGCTCGGCGGACATCCCACGTATGATAAGACGGCAGCACCGTCTCTGCTGTATTGTACTATGTGATGTTATGTTCGGTCCTGTGCTGTTTGTATGCGCGTATGGTTGGATGGATTATGCTCCCGACGGGGCGGCGTGATGTGAGCACGCCTGTCACGTT